TATATATATATATATGATATAAGTGTATATACTGTGTTTATATAGCTGTGTATATATACAATTATTGTTACAATGTTATGGAATATAAGGAAGTGTGAAGCACCATCAACTTTATTTAAAATTCAACTTGTAGGGAGAGAATCTGTGTTCCATCGTTTACAAAGTCGCTCGTTGATGACTGAAAGTCAGAACCGATTCTGCTCATCTTCAAAGATTCTAATTAGAGATGACGTCTAGTGGTCGGCGCTGACGCAATCCAAATATGAAAACTGCTCCTCGGACCATCAGTATAAGTCGCTTGATGAATCTTGGCCCCTGGTGTCAGTCAAGGCTACAGAGCTACAGACTAATTGCTGTGATTTATCCTCATCAGTTTGAACACTTTTCTCAGTTGTATTGATCTCAGAATCCACGGCAGTATTTTGAGCCTTCTTAGACACAGTAACAGGATCAGCCCCTTCACTTTGAACATAAACATTATCAGTTTGAAAGGTGACGTCTGTTCTCAACCTGAGGGGTGCAGACTGCTTTTGACCAGGCGGTGTTCCTCCTTTGATGTTAAAATCATCAAAGGAGTCCTGGTTGGTGGAATTAATACAGTGGTTCTCAAACTCTCGGGCGTGTTGCACTCATGGTACCTGAGCGCCCTCTGCAGGTATGCAAGGGAATCTGGTTACCATGAGGATGCAGCAAGTATGAAATACCGCCCTTGTATATTCTCACAAAAATGTGTCTCTCTGCAAATGTGTACGTGTGTGCGTGCACATGTGTGTGTTTTCCTGCTATGGCTACGTTTGGCTGATGAAAAAGTAAATATTCAAGTGTATTAAAATGTTGATTTTGCAAATATGAAAATTTAAATATTCCACATGAGAAAATATTAAATTTTGTACTCAAAAAGTACTGAAATACACAATTGGTATAACAGGGTTTATAGTCATATTTTTGTATTCTTTCCCAAAAATATTTGTCATTCAATATGTTGTTTGTTTTTTTTAAACCTGACCAGGCAATTCAAGAAAGCTGTAACAGATGCGATAATGTCTCGAAGAGCTATTCGCAACATGAATACACTGTGAGTACAAAAAAAAAATCCCCTACATTTGTAACTGTTGTTGTTTCCCTAACATGTCCAGTCGGGATTTCGACTTTCTCCAGGTCACATCGTCTGCTGGATTGTTATATTTGTTTGAAGGTTGAGTCCCTAAAGTCAAACTGTTGTCTCTGCTCAGATACCCTGATGCCACCCCTGAGGACCTGCAGGCTTCTGACAACGTCTGCATCATTTGTCGGGAGGAGATGGTCACCGGAGCCAAGAAGCTGCCATGTAATCACATCTTTCACTCCAGGTGGGTTGGACTTTAGGGCAGGGTTCAAACTAAACAGCGTCAATATTTGGATGTTTGCTGTAATTAAATGTCGTGTAAACAGGAACCCAGTCCTGCGGCAGCGTCGTAAACGCAGCTGATTGTTGTTTCTGTCCTTCTGCAGCTGCCTGCGTTCCTGGTTCCAAAGACAGCAGACTTGTCCGACCTGTCGTATGGACGTCCTCCGGGCCACCAACAACAACCAGACTCCTGCTCCAGCCCAGGCTCCACCTCCGGCTCCAGCAGCACCTGCTAACGCGGCTGCTAATGCCGCACCTCCAAACGGTGAGTTTCCAGACCTGTTCACGTCAACCAGGCGTCCGTGCTTCTACTGTGAGTTGTTCATATCATCAGATGGGCTCGGAAGTCTGTTTTGATGAATTCAGTTGAAAAAAAAACATTCATTATTTTGTGATTATGTATCAGATTAAAAATATAAAACAAATGTTTTTCACAAGGATAGAGTGATGTGCATCCACTCATTGTTGCCGTAAAACGTTTCATCTTCGGTATCAAAATCCCATCATCAACTCCCAGCATGTTTTTTAACACCAAGAAAATGAACAGCACTGCTGACGAAGTCACGGTGCAACATTTTTAACAAACCCCAAACCCAACACCTCACTATATATTCTGGGGAAAGTTCTGGACCAAATTCAATCGTAACACATTCTGGTGTTTTATATTTATTTCTTGTTTGCCCCACAGTGGCTCCAGGCATGTTACCAGCCTTCCCACCGGGCATGTTCCCATTCTGGGGACCCTTTCCTGCAGTGCCTCCCCCTCACGCCCCTCCTCCCGGTGCTGCTGCAGCAGCTGAAGCTCCTGGTGCTCCTCATGCTCCTCAAAACGGCACAGAAGCCACACAAGGAGCAGGTGAGTGTTCTGTTTCCTCCTCCTTCACCAGGCCTGAGGTTTGATTTCATCATCATCAATCCTTAGATTTTTATTTTTATTTGTGTGTGTGTGTGTGTGTTTTACCAGGTAGCAGCCAGCTCACATCATCTGCGGCCGACACCTCCACGGCAGCCCCGGCTCCAGGAACGGGCTTCCCGGGATTCCCGTTCTCCTTCCCTCCTCCTCCCTTCCCTACTGCACCCTGGCTGCCCATGCCACCCCCTCCTCCTCCTTTTGGTAAGACCAGAAACACCCAAGAAAACAAGTGAAAAGTGTAGTTTATTTATTTATAAAAATCCTCAAAAGTATTAGTCAGTCTACAGTACTGTGTCAGTCGGAATGTCAGTCGGAGACTCACTGACTGTCCTGATCTCAGTCAGGCTGCTCTGACACAGGCTGGGCTGCTGACCTTAGATTGAAGAAAATAGAAAAAAAAATATTTTATTTCCCTCCCTACGTCCCCTGTGACATCAGCTCTGTGACCCTCTACTTTGGGAACCACTGTTTTACGAAATCCCTCTGTACACACACACAGACACACACACACACGTAATGTGACCTTTGATAAAGCAGATCTTTTATTTTCTCCTGCAGTATCGTCGATGCCTCCCCCTCCTCCTTCTCTGTCCCAGATGTCTGAGGAGGAGTTGAGGGAGTTGGAGGCCGAAGGCCGCCGTGGCCTTGAAGCCAGGCTTCAGTGTCTCCAAAACATCCACACCCTGCTGGACGCCGCCATGCTGAACATCCACCACTACCTCAGCACTGTTGCCACGCTCACGTAATTGAATCTCCCTGAAATTATTTTTTAATTTTAAGCTAATATTGTTCAACAATATATATATATATATGATATAAGTGTATATACTGTGTTTATATAGCTGTGTATATATACAATTATTGTTACAATGTTATGGAATATAAGGAAGTGTGAAGCACCATCAACTTTATTTAAAATTCAACTTGTAGGGAGAGAATCTGTGTTCCATCGTTTACAAAGTCGCTCGTTGATGACTGAAAGTCAGAACCGATTCTGCTCATCTTCAAAGATTCTAATTAGAGATGACGTCTAGTGGTCGGCGCTGACGCAATCCAAATATGAAAACTGCTCCTCGGACCATCAGTATAAGTCGCTTGATGAATCTTGGCCCCTGGTGTCAGTCAAGGCTACAGAGCTACAGACTAATTGCTGTGATTTATCCTCATCAGTTTGAACACTTTTCTCAGTTGTATTGATCTCAGAATCCACGGCAGTATTTTGAGCCTTCTTAGACACAGTAACAGGATCAGCCCCTTCACTTTGAACATAAACATTATCAGTTTGAAAGGTGACGTCTGTTCTCAACCTGAGGGGTGCAGACTGCTTTTGACCAGGCGGTGTTCCTCCTTTGATGTTAAAATCATCAAAGGAGTCCTGGTTGGTGGAATTAATACAGTGGTTCTCAAACTCTCGGGCGTGTTGCACTCATGGTACCTGAGCGCCCTCTGCAGGTATGCAAGGGAATCTAGTTACCATGAGGATTCAGCAAGTATGAAATGCCGCCCTTGTATATTCTCACAAAAATGTGTCTCTCTGCAAATGTGTACGTGTGTGCGTGCACATGTGTGTGTTTTCCTGCTATGGCTACGTTTGGCTGATGAAAAAGTAAATATTCAAGTGTATTAAAATGTTGATTTTGCAAATATGAAAATTTAAATATTCCACATGAGAAAATATTAAATTTTGTACTCAAAAAGTACTGAAATACACAATTGGTATAACAGGGTTTATAGTCATATTTTTGTATTCTTTCCCAAAAATATTTGTCATTCAATATGTTGTTTGTTTTTTTTAAACCTGACCAGGCAATTCAAGAAAGCTGTAACAGATGCGATAATGTCTCGAAGAGCTATTCGCAACATGAATACACTGTGAGTACAAAAAAAAAATCCCCTACATTTGTAACTGTTGTTGTTTCCCTAACATGTCCAGTCGGGATTTCGACTTTCTCCAGGTCACATCTTCTGCTGGATTGTTATATTTGTTTGAAGGTTGAGTCCCTAAAGTCAAACTGTTGTCTCTGCTCAGATACCCTGATGCCACCCCTGAGGACCTGCAGGCTTCTGACAACGTCTGCATCATTTGTCGGGAGGAGATGGTCACCGGAGCTAAGAAGCTGCCATGTAATCACATCTTTCACTCCAGGTGGGTTGGACTTTAGGGCAGGGTTCAAACTAAACAGCGTCAATATTTGGATGTTTGCTGTAATTAAATGTCGTGTAAACAGGAACCCAGTCCTGCGGCAGCGTCGTAAACGCAGCTGATTGTTGTTTCTGTCCTTCTGCAGCTGCTTGCGTTCCTGGTTCCAAAGACAGCAGACTTGTCCGACCTGTCATATGGACGTCCTCCGGGCCACCAACAACAACCAGACTCCTGCTCCAGCCCAGGCTCCACCTCCGGCTCCAGCAGCACCTGCTAACGCGGCTGCTAATGCCGCACCTCCAAACGGTGAGTTTCCAGACCTGTTCACGTCAACCAGGCGTCCGTGCTTCTACTGTGAGTTGTTCATATCATCAGATGGGCTCGGAAGTCTGTTTTGATGAATTCAGTTGAAAAAAAAACATTCATTATTTTGTGATTATGTATCAGATTAAAAATATAAAACAAATGTTTTTCACAAGGATAGAGTGATGTGCATCCACTCATTGTTGCCGTAAAAAAAAGTTTCATCTTCGGTATCAAAATCCCATCATCAACTCCCAGCATGTTTTTTAACACCAAGAAAATGAACAGCACTGCTGACGAAGTCACGGTGCAACATTTTTAACAACCCCCAAACCCAACACCTCACTATTGGGTTAGTTCTGGTGTTTTATATTTATTTCTTGTTTGCCCCACAGTGGCTCCAGGCATGTTACCAGCCTTCCCACCGGGCATGTTCCCATTCTGGGGACCCTTTCCTGCAGTGCCTCCCCCTCATGCCGCTCCTCCCGGTGCTGCTGCAGCAGCTGAAGCTCCTGGTGCTCCTCATGCTCCTCAAAACGGCACAGAAGCCACACAAGGAGCAGGTGAGTGTTCTGTTTCCTCCTCCTTCACCAGGCCTGAGGTTTGATTTCATCATCATCAATCCTTAGATTTTTATTTTTATTTGTGTGTGTGTGTGTTTTACCAGGCAGCAGCCAGCTCACATCATCTGCGGCCGACACCTCCACGGCAGCCCCGGCTCCAGGAACGGGCTTCCCGGGATTCCCGTTCTCCTTCCCTCCTCCTCCCTTCCCTACTGCACCCTGGCTGCCCATGCCACCCCCTCCTCCTCCTTTTGGTAAGACCAGAAACACCCAAGAAAACAAGTGAAAAGTGTAGTTTGTTCATTTATAAAAATCCTCAAAAGTATTAGTCAGTCTACAGTCCTGAACAAGCCATCTGACTGTTGTGTCAGTCGGAATGCCAGTCAGAGACTCACTGACTGTCCTGATCTCAGTCAGGCTGCTCTGACACAGGCTGGGCTGCTGACCTTAGATTGAAGAATGGGGAAAAAACATTTTTTTATTTTCCTCCCTACATCTTAGATTGAAGAAAATAGAAAAAAAAATATTTTATTTCCCTCCCTACGTCCCCTGTGACATCAGCTCTGTGACCCTCTACTTTGGGAACCACTGTTTTACGAAATCCCTCTGTACACACACACACACGTAATGTGACCTTTGATAAAGCAGATCTTTTATTTTCTCCTGCAGTATCGTCGATGCCTCCCCCTCCTCCATCTCTGTCCCAGATGTCTGAGGAGGAGTTGAGGGAGTTGGAGGCCGAAGGCCGCCGTGGCCTTGAAGCCAGGCTTCAGTGTCTCCAAAACATCCACACCCTGCTGGACGCCGCCATGCTGAACATCCACCACTACCTCAGCACTGTTGCCACGCTCACGTAATTGAATCTCCCGGACATTATTTTTTAATATTAAGCTAAAATTGTTCAACAAAGGAATGGACTTTGCTGATTGGCGTCTCTGTACCACAGGCCTCCTCCAACTCAGAGCAGCACCGGAGAAACCAGTGGCACCAACAACACGGCCTCGTCCTCCGCAGCTGACAGCGGCAGAACTGAGGGTGCAGCTCAGGAGGAGGAGGACGCCGCCAGCTGTGAGAACATGAACTGTTTATATTTGCAGAGACTGATGTGACATTTTATATCAGGGGAGGCATTTATCTGACTTTATCAGTCAGGATACCGATACAGATTCCTGGGCTGTGCATATCGGTCGATAAGCTACTTTGAAAAGCATTTAAAATAATTTTTATGTAAATATACTTTTATATAGGAAATAAAACTGAATGTGAAATATATAAAAAAATTTCCAAAAAAAAACTCAATGCAAATCCAACAAACAAACACTTAAATTTTACAAAATGTACAGAAATAAAACTAATTTGGTCCAAACTGGAAAATAGGAAAGTGCCAAATGGAACGCATCATTGTATAAATAAATTGGTACCAAGGATCGGTCCCGCTCTCTGATGCCTGATTGAAATGTCTAGTCAATACTGGAACAGATTTCTGACATAAATATCAAACTCAGTGCGTCTGTATTTTTACCTGTTCATCGTTTTTGTTTTTGTTCCAGTAAACGGTGCCGCAGCCTCGTCTCCACCGGATGTCTCCACACTCACTGCCTCGGAAGGTGAAGGAGAGACAGAAGGGATGGAGGAACACGCGGTAGGGGACGGGGAACCAAACACTGCCGAACTTCGGCGTCGCCGCCTTCGCAAGCTGGAGTCGGGGTCGTCATCGTCACCCCCCGTAGACAACTGATCAGTGAGTTCTGGCTTTGGACCAACAGGAACTGAATGTTGTTGGATCTTCTGTTCGGTCTTTTTTTTTTCCTTTTCCTCTGTTTCTCGCTGCTCTTGCCTTCCGCCGACTCAGGTCTTCGAACTGCGCAGTTGAGACTCTGGATCCTTTAGCAATCGTGATATCAAAGCAATATCACACTTTTGTTTCATGACCTTCAAGCCAGGGTCGGAAGAAGAACTCTTCAGTCCATGTGTTGAGAGAAGGTGTTTGGGTTCGTGTAGTAGTTCACTGTTGGTGACATCGTGGTCGTCCACTCGGCTCTTTTTTCAAACTCGGTCCGGTCTATAAAACAACATCTTGTTACACAGAAAAACCGAGGCTACGTTCACACTGCAGGTCTTGTTACTCAGTTGTTTTTTTTTTGTTGTTCACGTCATAGTTTTACATGTTAAACCTTCGTCAGACTCCAGAGTGAAGAGTCTACAACTCTGCGAGTGACCCACATTTACACAAGTTCATATGGATGTTACACTCTCCACACGGCTGGGTCTGCCACAGACCACTCTTCCTGGATGTGTCCACATGAATGCAGACCTCTGGGGACTAAAGCCCAATGACATCATCCTTCCTGATCGTTGGGATGATCATCCAGACTGAAGTCACTTTGGATCTGATTTAGGACCACATGTGAAAGTGGCCTCAGTCAGATTTGAGAAGAAGTAGGATTAGTGGTGTAAACACCATAACGTGGGTAAATAAATCAGACATGGGTCACGTGTGGGTTGGTAAATGTTTGCGTTAGTTTTTTTGTTTGTTTTTTTGTTGCCTGAGGTGTGAACATCGCTTTAGTTTAAGTTCAAATTGAAACTAAAGAATAGAGTTAATATACTGTAGAATAAATCATCATGCAATTCAACACATTCATATATTTTCTGATCTTTTTCAACGATTCTCTGAATCCTGGAACTCGCTCCAAAAATGGTTGTAAAATAAGTAGCTGCATCTTTTTTTCTTTTTTTTTTTAAATTTGCTTTTACTTCCAACCTTCTCCATTCTTCAGTTTCTCATCACTGTATCTGCAGATGGTGTGACATACAGAGCTATTTGAATGTGTACATACTGTATAGACTTTTAATAGGATGATCTGTACATAATGCAAAATAAAAAACACTTTGAAACAAGTGTGGCGACGACACACGGTGGTTTGTGCGCTGCGATTTAGAGGGAAAGGAAATCTGTTACTGTACTAAACTCCACTTTTTTAAACTGTTTACTGGAAACTGAGATTTGTTTTTAAATTGAACTCCTACCATGATGCTGCGCTCACACAAAACACAAATCAATATCCATGATTCGGAAAGTTACTCACATGTGACACAAAAATGCAACAGCAGGCTATAGACTTTCATATATTTATATATATTTTCAGGTCACGTCACAGTGACTAATACAGAAATAGATCTTGGCAGCTGTGCTACGGTTAAAAGGGCCATTGTAAAAATAACTTATTTTACATTACAAATATACAAAAAAAGGACAAAATCAGGGGGAAAATTATTCAGATAATACACAGAAAATGTGGCTGACAAAAGTCAGGGAAAGAAAACTTCAAAAAGGAAAAATAATATCCACCGTATGAATGAGAATAGACATTGAGAAACTGTTCTGTCTTTGCAAAAAACACAAAAATGAATATATATATATATGTATATATATATATATATATGTATATATATATATATATGTATATATATATATATACATATATATATATATATATGTATATATATATATATATGTATATATATATATATGTATATATATATATATGAAGGAATGCTATCAAAGCTAAATGTGCCATTAACAGTTGTTCTAACGAGGACATGGAGATGATTGGGCGAACACACTATGGCAGAACAGCAGCTACACGTTTCACCATGTCTTTATATTTGGTGTGAAAAGTTCTCCTTGTTTTTAGCTCCATCTGTACAGAACGACATTTTGCTGCTGGTGATTTCCTGAGAGATCATTTGTTGGGTTTTTTTGTGCAAAATTTGCTCATTGCTGGAGGTACTACTGTCTGTGTGGGACCAGACCCAGGGCGAGTGGTCCACTTCAGTTTTGGGGAGTGGAATAAAAGGAATGGTGCTGGTGGTTCCGGTGTGGAGGCTCAGTGGCGAAGAGGAGAGGAGCGCTCTCTGCTCCGTACCAGCTGGGGGGAAGAGAGAGGTAGATAGATAAGTGTACAAAGTGACTGAACCTTACATGTGAAAAAAGAAATCTCTATGACAGTAAGAGAGATGTGGTTTATCTAGTATCAACACATTTTTCTTAGCTCTAGACATAATGTTATTCCAATCTCCAAGCATATTATGAACTTTTTTTAAATCATACACTATGATGAAGCGAAGGCAAAACACATTCAACAAATCCATCAATTCACAGGTGAATAGATGAAAAGTCTGAGTATGAAGAAAAAGAAGAAACTTAAAGTTGCTACTGAACACTTGACTCTACCTTGGCTGCAGGTTTGGACTGCGCGCCCATGGAACAGGCAAATCATCATCACTGGCTTGAGGGTCGTCGAAGAAATACGGTCGAGGCAGGACTCTGTTGTTAATGACCACGGCGTTGGTCTGTCAGGGATTTAAAAAAAAAAACATCAACGGAGGTTCTAAATTGCTGCCGTGATTTCAAACTCACACATCCAGAGTCAAAGCTGACGTAGTTACTACCTCCTGAGCAGGCTGGCGAACCCTGAAGATAATGATCAGCAGACCGGTTGGAAGCAGCTCCCAAATGAAGAGGATGGCACCGAAGGCCAGGTAGCCTTTGTCTCCCAGCTCACTGTGCAGGTCAGCCTGCAAGAGAGCGAAAACGCAGGAAGTTACTTCTTTAGTATACTGATTGTGCAAGAGAGCGAAAACGCAGGAAGTTATTTCTTTAGTATAAGAATGTCCTCAGTCTGATGCTAATTTTAACTGGTGCAGCACGATGGTGCAGTCTGAATTCACAGTAGTTTTGACACCTGGTCACTACAGTTACCTGGTCAGAGACATTGTACCAGTCGTAGTTGAAGGACTCCACCCTGTGGCTCTGGGAGAGGAAGAGGACGGTCAGATTGTAGCACGCTCTGCTGGTGAACAACAGGATGACGGCGGCTCCCAGTGCTGCTGTTCGACACATGGTGGTGCCCTGCTCAGGACAGAAGGGTCATTTACTTTCACGTTGACAAAACACAAGCACAAACAGGGTTTTATTTATTTAATTTCCACCAGTTGAATCTCGACCTCACCTTACTCAACAGGTAAGGGCTGGTAGAATGCGAGTGTCGGGTCAAAAGCAACAGCAGAGCGGCCAGTAACACCGCTTCGAGGATGAAAAGTGAGTCGTTTATTATGACCCGGACCAGGACAAGATTCCAGGTCCCCAGGGCTGTGCCGCTGCGTGTCGAGAACGTGGCACAGACGAAGTTGACGCCCAGGAAGATGACGTTCATTGCACTGTACATGCACCGTGCCACACACCTGAGAAGATAAAGAACATGAGGGGCGGGGGGCGATCAGAGGACATTTACACAGAAACATCGGTGAGTTTAAAAACACTTGTAAAAAGATCTAGGGCCTCCCAGCAGGTTGAGCAGGTTTATTTATTTAGGTTACAGTAATAGTAACAGGTGGACTGTTATTGTGTGGTATACACGTCTATGTCTGTGACTCACAGTTTTCTGCCCTCCTCTGAGCTGTGAGTCTCCCGCACTTTGAGCAGAACCTGAAGAACAACACAGAAATGATGATTGTCTGTTCAAAACATGCGTTCACATGAACATGGCCCACAGAGTGTCCACAGCTTTACCTGAGTGAAATACAGATTAATGAGGCTGAGTGTGAAGAACTGCAGACAGACGGGTAAACAGTAGAGCAGCCAGTAGACTGCCACGGGCAGGTGGTTGGCCTCCAGTGCATTGTGGAAGTAGAAAGAGAACAATGTGGTGCGCAGAGCAGCCCAGAGCAGGCAGAGGAACAGGAAGACACTCTGGTAGCTCCATCGTTTGTGTCTGTAGAGGTAGAGGAGCCACAGCTGGACGTACACCAACAGGAAGAGTGCAGCGTACAGAGTGGTGTACAGGATGGTGAAGCCCAGCTGGACCGACGGGGCCACAGCCGGGCGGAGGGGAACGGGGGGAGGTAGAGTGGAGTTGGGAGGCGGATCGGCCGACGCTGGAGTTTCCATTGAGCTACGGCAGTACTTCACTTTACATCATCACAGTAAAGATCGCCTGATCTTTTCCTCTGTGACGGACGGGTTCACAGAGGAGACCTATAAAAATAAAAATGAAACAACAATTAGAAAGAGCAGTGCATCAACTGTAAATGAATACAAAAATCACCAGTAAAACCAGCCTACTGTGCTCATCAATAACTGCAGTGTTAGGGTGTTATTGTCTCTAATCGCGTGATCAGATGTTAGTATTTACCAAACATAAACGTTGCTATGATGTGAAGGGCAGCAACAGTTGGAGCAACATAAAAGAACAGCAAACAAGCCTTTAAAGCCTTTAAAATGTCTACCACTGGAAAAAAAAACCAAATCACCTGACGACACTGCACTTCTGCATTCAGGAGGATGTTAAGTAATTATACAGATATGTCCTGAGTGATCTGATTTTTACACAAAACTTTAGGTTTCCGGTTCCCGTTTACTTGGGAAAAATCATCAATTTTCATGTATGCCAAAAGAAATGCACTTGAGTTTACTGTACTCGTCCACAATTCAACATGAAGTTTGACATGTTAATCATTAACATCGACAACAGCTGACACCGAAGGCCATGGGAGAGGGAGATAAACACTGCACATACTGTACATTAAAACAAATACCTCTTCTAAACACTACGTGTTTCTTTTCACCAAAACATTTGAATGTATGTCACGCTACAATATATTGTTATTTTATTGCCGTTTTGTTCACCTATATTATGAGTATTGACAACAGAGAAGCCAAAGTTGCATTTCTTTACTTTCTGTTACATTTGACCATACATCGGTTATGCTAACTGACGATAGCTGTTACGTAGCTCCAACAAAACACAAACTAATTCGAGCTGTGTAACTAGGTAACGTTTGTTTATCAACGCCGAACAACATTAATAATTTAGCATGTCATTAATAAGAAAAGGAAAAAAACAACACACCGTCTTATCAGCCTGTGAATCAGCAGGTTTACAGTACAGAAGATCATCGCTCACATCCGGAAGTGACTACTGACTACTAACGTCTGAGGGGCGGAGCTTCTGTTTTGATTGTCGCCGCCAATCAGCGACCGCGTTTAATCGCGGTTTCTTCAACTTGTTGTTTATCCTGTTTAGCGGCGGACGGTACTTGCAAATAAACATTACATTTTCTCAGGTAACGACTCGACGATATATGGGAGCTAACCAAAGCTCGGTTCTTTGAGCACGGTTCGGTTTTTGTTGGCATATAGCTGCTAGTGTGCTGAGCGGATTACTCGCTTTTTCTTTGGTGCTTTTAACTCGCGTCACCAACTTGTCGTCTGCCGCTGCTGCTGGTGCATTATTAAAGCGTTCCAAGATGCCTATGGTGCTGCGATCCAGGAAGACCACAGGCGACAGCAGTGAGGAAGAGTCAACGGCAGAGACGACCTCGGTAAAACCCAGAAGGTCGACCCGCCTGCGCCTCAGAGTTACGTACGAGGTGGGTATTTTTATTACTCCCTCTTTCCGCCTCCTCTTCCTCCACAGCGGACTGTCGGCCACGTATCCGCGTCGCTACTCACAACGGCAGCGTCGTTGGATATTTAAGCCAAATAAACACCGAATACTGATACGGTCCTCTATGGAAGTGTTTTATGTTTGTAGTTGAAATAAGTTACGCATAGTTAAAAGTTTGTTTAACCGGTTAGCATTACTGTAACGAGTGGACGGATACAGCTAACGGTGACAAAGCTCATCACTCTGAGGCGAGCTACTGCACCATGGTAAGTTGTATTACCCACCTGGGTGATGTTTTTGTTATACAAAAAGGTGACTTATATAAAATTGTATTTTTGTAATGTCTGTTTATTCTTCAATGCACTGTGTACGCACGCGTTTTTTTTTTAATTTAATTTTATTTGTTCCGAAGTATCTGCACGAGTTCGTGGCTCTTGCATCATAAAACTGTTGTCTGCACCGTAATAACGACCAGTGTGTGGTTTCTGTTAGGAAACCCATGACTTCGACTCCGAAACGCAAGTGATGGAGAACCGTCCCGCTGCCCAGCCAGAGCCGGAGCCCGAGGAGGAGCAGGCTGCTGAGGAGACAGCGCCAACGGTAAGACGAGGCGTTTGAGACCGTCGTTCACCGCGGAAAAACCGAACACACTTCAACTTAGTCCTCGTCCTCCAGGCGATGCTGGATTTTTTTACTGCACTAAAATAGGTGGAGAGGCAATGGGTGTGACCGGATAAATTCACATACCCTCGGCAATGTGTGTGTGTGAGAGAGAGAGAGAGAGAGTTGCTTTTCTGGTATAGCTATACTTGTGGGGACTTTTCTAAAACACAGATTCCACAGAATTTGCAGATTCCCACTGAGTCAGAGAGTAGAACTAGAGTCAGATTATTTTATATATATTTATATATATATAATGGCTTATGTCTGGAAAAGAGGCTAGGGAGTGAGTTATGACAAGGCATATTGCATAAAACCAGTTCTCTCTCTCTCTCTGTGTGTGTGTGTGTGTGCGTGCAGCAGCAGCCTGCAATCATCTCCAGAAAATATTGGCAGGAGTGAGTGTATCAGATGAACTCTACTGTAGAGATGTAGGCCTCTGACGCTGCTTTGCAGACATCAACAATGAAGCCTTACCAGCACTGGAGCTCTGAGGACAATGATGTAGCAAATTGTAAACACTGCAGTTCAGGGATCTGTGTCAGTCCTCCTGGCTCTGAGGTCTGCCTGCCTGCCTGCCCACAGACCTCACTGCCTCTGTTTTTGCTTCATGTTGCCCAAATATTCACTAGTGTGATTTATAAGATTAAATATACAGTATGAAGATAACAACCAACAGATGACACAGGGGAAAATAAAAAAACGTTGAGTTCATGTTGACGTGATGCAGCAAAAAGGGCTTGTTGTGAAGCAGGGATGTCAAAACTGGGAAAAATGGAGAGGATTTAAAGTATTCTCTCCTGAAGGGAATAGTAATTTGGATCTTTGTATTTGAGGAGTTGTTAGTTGTTGTTATTGTTAGCAGTATTTCCTAAATAAAAAGTAGTATTGTTAAGGGGTGTAAGAAAATAAGGATACACTGAAATATCACGATATTTAATTTATGTTACCGTATTGATATTCTATTCAAGTACTGTACCGATACTTAGTATATAAATAAAAAGTAGTATTGTTAAGGGGTATAAGAAAATAAGGATATAATAAGGACTGAAATATCATGATATTTCATTTATGTTACCGTATTGATATTTTGAAGTACTGTACCGATACTTAGTATTCATAATTATCATGCCAATATTTATGGTTCATTTTATTTTACTTTTATTTCTTCTCTAGCAATGACAAATGCAGATCCCTCTGTTCTATATTACCCCTATAGTATCGCAGTATTATCGTGTTTTTGCCCCTGTATCGTGATACTTTTTGAATCGCCAGATTCTTGCCAATATACACCCCTAGTATTGTAGGAAATACTGTTTATCTGTTAATCTTTGCTATGTGTGAAAAACTTGTTTTGTTGAATGCCAGTGACAGTACTAGCATAACAACACATGAAGTATAACGTAGTAGTATCTTATTTAGGGTGTGGGGTTATTTAAGAGTAAAAATCTGCCGATCATTCAGACTTTATTTCTTTGCCGTCTCAGCAGGCAGGCTGTTTACATGACATCTGTGATAACATGATGAATAATCTGTGGCAGTGAGGAGGAGGAGGAGGAAGAGGAGAAGGTGTGGCTGAAGTCAAAAGCCCTCGTTTGAATAGGTGTGGCTCTTCCAGCTCCTCCAGTGCTGCGAATCGTTTGAGGTAACATCCAGCTGCTGTATTGTTTTCAGCTGGCGCAGGGACAGGACTGAAGAAAGGCCGGATGTCAGGGCTGTTCATGTTGAGGTTAATGGTTATCTATTATAAAGGCACACTCTCATTTTTATTCCTGACCTCTAATGTGACTTTTTCCAGAAAAAGGGTTTCTCACTGGTCATTGCCGGTGCTGAGAATGAAGGATGTATTTCTGCAGCTACACACTGTTTGTATTTTTCTATAATTCTAACAGTTCTCTTTCTGCCTCAGGAGTTGAAAGACTGCACCATCGTGCTGCACCAGTTAGAAGAAGGAGAAAAGGTTCAGAAAAGGGAAGCGGAGGACAAAGAAGACATGAACCGTAAATCTGGCAAACCCGCCTCCCGGATTCCTACCTTCCACAAAAGACCTCCAAGTGCAGGCCAAAGCTCAGAGCTGCCCCTTCCCAAAAAGGATACTCCTGTCCATGGAAGTGCGGAAGCTTTGAAAATCAAACCGCTAGATGTCAGAGAAAAGCCACTCCCCCAGGTGTCAGTCAAAACTCCAAAACCCAGCTCAGAGGATCCTCAGCCGTTCACCGTGGTTGAACCGGTCACTGCAGCAGCCCAGAGCTCCGTCCCCAGTGCCTTCAAAAACCTGGGCTTCTCCGCGTCTCTCCAGTCTCCCCTTCTCACTGCGAGCCCCAGACCGGCCATCAGACCAGATCACGGGTTAGAGCTGTATTTACCAGAACAAGTCATGAGCAGAACCCCACAAGTAGAAGATGATTTCACACCAAATGACCACGTAAGCAACCTTTCAGAGGAGGAGTTCCTCGGCCTGAAGTCACCGCAGGTCATACCAGACAGGTTTAAAGCCGAGGTCAGGAGCAGGCTGTCCGTCACTCCGTCCAGAGACGCAAAAACGTCCGAGTCCGGAGACAGCGTCCCCGAACTCCCTGACTTCAACCAAGTGGAAGCCATTATTGACGAAGCGGCACCATGGGAAACTGAGTCCATGACCATATCTGAAATGAAGGAAACTGGGACACCCACTGATTCTGAATTTGAGGAGGAACTAGTAGCTGAAAAGTCTGAGTGCTGCGATTTAGAGGAAGAGAACGACGACACTGACGCAAGTGAAGATCAGCCACAGGCGGTTTCAGAAGCACCGCAGCAGAGAGACGATCTGGATGAACCCACACCTCCTGAGGCAGCAGAGACCTCTGCTGAAGTCACAACAACCAAGTCAACCAAGGTGAGTGATGTCATTCTGTTGATGTACAGTACGTGAGTTCACTCTTCAGCTTCAGGTCTTTATTTTGAATTGAAGCGTGAACTGAAGACACTTCAGAGCTCTGCAGCCTTTGTTGTTGATGATTAATGACTGGATAATCATGTAAATCATGTTCATTTGGAAGCTTCAGCCAAGAACAAGATAAACATGACTGAAATACACCAGCTCTATGAAGAGACATTTTCACTCTGTTTTTAATAATTAATATTAATATAATAATATTAATAGTTACATCATTTTTAACTAATTAAAAACAGGTGAGAAACACTGACCTCTACCTGCTGTTACTGGTCTTTCCGGTGCAGAAATGTACCGTTTTTGTAAAGCTTATTTAGGAATGTTAAGATTAATCATCAATGGAAAACTATGATGAAGATCAATCTGTTACTCTGTGAATAATCTGATGAATTTAATTTTTTTTTTACGTTTGACATCTATGATATTTATGAAATAAAGTCACAGGCTCATTATGTCATGTTAAATTGTTTTTTTTTTTTTTTATTTGAAGAAATAAACTTTTGATAAATGCTTTTCAGGGAAAAGATATGAATAGTTTATTCATAATACTGCTTAGCTAATTTAGACCGTATCGTAGTTACAGTCCCACTGTTTACTCAGCTCAGGGAGTACGTACATGTGAACGAGGCTTCTGTCACACATTAAGGAATTTCACCACGCCCTGCTGTGTAGCTGTGGTATGCAGCACAGTTGAAAGCAATTTTCAATTCTCCAGTCGTTGCCTTTTTTTTTATTATTATTTGTTCATGAGGTGATGAAGTCTTGATATTTTCCAGGCCTCGAAGAGCTCCTGTTTGGCCTACCTCTGCCTGCTGCCCACCACTCTGCTGCTCCTTTGTGGGTTGGGTCATCATGTGTGGCACTACGGGCTTCCCCTGTCTGTGGACCAACTTACGGCTCAGCTGGAGCTCCACTTTCTGGACGGCCTCGGTTTGGTCTCGGATCCGTGCAGCACCGACTGTCGGTAAGAAAAACAATCCACAAAGTCAAATACACGCTGTCTGAACAAATCACATGAGATTTGAACTGCTGTTGAGTTCACATGGTTTTGTTTTGGTCAGTCATTCGTCATCAGTCGTGATGATTCATTTGAGAACCTTCCCTGTCCCCTGTGTTCAGGGTGCAGCTGGTGGAGAGCGTCCCCGTCGGTCTGTACCCGTCCTCCCCCTCCTCCAGACTGAGTATTGCAGACAGTTGGCTGCACCTGCTGAAGAAGGCCAACAAATCAGTCGATATCGCCGCTTATTACTTCACGCTGAGAGGCAGCGATACACAGACAGCGCCCCCCTTTGACTCTCAGGTCAGTACGACCAGTCAGTCCACAAGGGACTGTATGTTTGTCTGTATGTATGACATATGTATATCATATATATGTACACACATAAATACAACTATATATATTCTATGAAACCATCTTCGTTGCTTGTGTCGTTCAGGGGAGACAAGTTTTTGAGCACTTGAAAAAACTTGAATCTAAAGGAGTGGGACTTCAAATCATTGTCAACGGGCCGCAGAAATCAACCCAGGACACAGCAGACTTGGCTGCAACAGGTAAAAAAGAAAAAACACAAAACAGATTAATATTAAATCAGCAGGATTTAGATGTTACATTGTGTCAGCCCTGAAACATGGGCTAGAAACCTGGAAATTCAACGTGTTCAAATCTGGAAACCTTTTGTTCTGATCTGTCACAGGTGCAGAAGTCAGAGAATTGGACCTCACAAATACAACTGGAGGAATCATCCACACCAAGCTGTGGGTTGTGGACCAGAGGCACATGTACCTGGGAAGTGCCAACATGGACTGGCGTTCTCTCAGTCAGGTACCGTGGGATGATTACTTTGTTTTGTTTTCAGTGACAGGAAGAAAATGGAAATCCTGTTCATAAAAGGTAAAAAACAAAAAAAAAACCTGAAATGTTTGAAAATACAGCTAAATTGAAATATTGCACATATAAAACTGTAAAAATCAAAGTGTGAGGCAGTGGCAGAATGAACTCGTGAGTGGTTGTGTTTTATTTGTTTGTCTTTTTGTTAAACCAAGGTGAAAGAAGTCGGCCTGTCAGTGGAGGACTGCAGCTGCCTTGCTCAAGATGCCTTTCGAATCTTTGGTGTTTACTGGATGGTTGCCGGTGCCAAAAATGGATCTCTGCCTCCGTACTGGCCCGCTCGCCTCTCTGCTCTGTCCAGCGCCCAGAACCCTCTTCACCTGAAGTTCAACGGCGTGCCAGCCCAGGTCTACCTGTCTGTGAGTCCGCTTCAGTCTGAGTCTGACATTGGTCACGTTGGAGTTCAAATGTCACCAATGTGACCAAAAACCTAACTATTTTAATTAATACCACTAAGGGACAAAGATGTCAATGTCACCAATGTGACCAAAAACCTAAACATTTTAATTGATAGTCGACCCAATCACACATTAATTAGTATTGGTACTTATTTAAGAGTTCTTCAGGTCTGGAGAGTGAGTTTTCCTCTGCCCATTGTTCTCACCTGCAGAGTGCCCCTGCTCAGATATCTGCCCGCGGTCGCACCGACGACCTGTCCGCCATCCTCTCCGTCATCAACGACGCCCAGGAGTTTGTCTACGTCTCCGTCATGGACTACCTTCCTCTGTCTCAGTTCACAGAGCCACTGAGGTAAACTCAGCTCACGAGGAGCGTTAGTTAAAGACGTGTGTATTTATAACCAGTTATGGATTATACTGAACACAGTACCGTATTATCCGGACTATAAGACGCTCCGGAGTACAAGTTACACCAGTGCCATCTAGTGGCTGTCAATTTGTCCAGCCGTACAAGTTACACCAGTGCCATCTAGTGTCCAGCCCATAGTCTAGTCCAGTGGTTCTCAAACTGTGGTACATGTACCACCAGTGGTTCGCGAGCACTCTCTAGTGGTACGGGGGGAAATTCACATTTTTTTACATTTACATTTTTAATTGAGTAAATCTAAAACATACCATGTATAATTAATACAACATTTAAACATAAAGATTTTTTACAAATATTTATAAATGATCTCCTGTGGTTCCAGGTTCTGGCCCACTATCGACACTGCCCTGCGGGCTGCGGCCTGCACTGGAGGAGTGGAGGTCAGACTGATGGTCAGCTGCTGGGAGCACTCACCCGGTGCCATGTTCCCTTTCCTGCAGTCGCTGCTAGTGCTCAACAGGCCTCCGTTGAACTGCAACATCAACATTGTACGTCTTATGATTAGAATTTCACTGATAACTGGAAAAGTCGTACAGATGTGTTTGATGCCGGAGCCTGAAGGTTTTTTTTTCTTTTGTCACTGTACAGAAAATCTTTAGAGTGCCTTCAACTGAGGAGCAGAAGAAGATTCCCTTCGCACGAGTCAACCACGCCAAGTACATGGTCACAGACAGAGCTGTGTATTTAGGTATGTAAATCAGTAAAATATCAGTCACACAAAGTACTATATACAAAACACACTTGACTGAATGTTTTTTTTTTTACCCTTAAAATATATTTTACATATTTATCACAAGTACTGCATAGTTGTACTATTTTTGACAGATACTGGCCATTTTACAACTTTAATGTGTATTTTTCATAACATGTTTTTTTAAACAATTCAACCTAAACACTTGGCTCAAACATGTTAGACCACAGATTGTTGTTCACTGTTTAACCGATGAGTGTTTTTGTCCTCAGGGACGTCCAACTGGTCGGAGAATTATTTCACTAAAACAGCGGGTGTGGGTCTGGTTGTGAACCAGACCGGCTCAGTGGTCAGAGAAGGTCAGCAGACTCTGCAGAGTCAGGTGGAGGAGCTCTTCCTGAAGGACTGGAGTTCCCCGTATGCCAGCGCTCTGTCCGTGGACAGCGTGGACGTCTGTCCTAATCTCTGACATGCTGGATTTTTTTTCCGTCGAGTAAAGCACGTCATACATGAGCATTTGCTTCATCCTGCCACTTGAAACCTTACTTTTTAAATGTGCTGAACTCAGTTTGCTGTGCTGTGTTGATCTTTCCAGTCTGTCCTTTTCTGTATATAATTTTATTTTTCATTGTTGTTGTTTTGTCATTTTTTTATATACTGATTTTCTTAAACAAGTTGAGGGAAAACCGTCTTTGTATAATTAAGTTCATGCCCGGAGCGTTTTGTATATTTTTCTTAGACAAATGTCTGTTTAAAGCCTGAACAATCTCACGCTGGAAACTGAACAGCTCCAAGGAAATGCAACTGCAATGACACGTTTACGCTGCTGATGCTGTCTAGTCAATCCATCAGTCCAAGGCTGAAGTTCAAATGTAGTGGAACAACCTGCGCACTTGTTTCTGTGGACGGATGTTTTATTTTTATGTGGTTTTTAAAAAACCTGTATCCCTGCATTGAAGCTGATTTTCTGTATCGATAATTTCTGAAGTGTTAACAGAGTCCAGTGGCTCTGGATGGAAGAGGTTACATCTGTTTAACTGTTTGATTAAAACCTTGACCTGGGGGTTAAAAATCTGAAGAGCTTCATTAGTACAATGAAGACAACAAGTTTGTCTGTATTTACACTAGGGCTGTGTATCGGCAAGAGAAAACAGTCTCAAAACAATCGCAATGTATTTTTCTGTTTGTGTTTTTAATCAAAGCTTAAGTAAACACATGGTTATGATTACAGAACCAGAAATATCCCCCCTCAAACATCTGTGACCAAAGCCAGTCTGTGGGGTTTTTTAATGGAGTCCATCGCCAACCCACAACTGAGTGAAATTATAGTGGCGTGGGATTTCATCTTCAAGTCTCAACATCACTGGTGTTGGAACAAAACTTTAATTATTTCTACAGTTAAAATTTCAACATGTAAAACTTTGGAGTACTGGTCCAAAGTAGATGAAAACAGGTGCATTTGTGTACACATGCAGCTCAGTAAAACTGTGACTTCATCCTGTAGTTTAATGATGATGCTGCTGAGTTACAATGGAGAGTGACACTCTGGAGTTTAGAGCTGGCTTCTTGGTAATAGAGTAATATAACAACACTTAAAATTAGTAATAATCAGTAACTTAATAAAATGTTAACACATTTCTACAGATTAATGCAAAATGTTCACAAATAAGACTTCACATTTTATACCTGAAAAAAAAATCTTATAAATAAAATTACATTTCATGTACAGGTAAAAAACTCCAAGGTGAGAACACGACTGTCAAAGACAACTGAATGCTCCAGTTAGAAGACTTTCAGTTGTTCTCAAAACATGGGGCGAGCCTTTCTATCTCCAGCCAACATACAACAAACTATTAAGGAGATTTGTCTGTGAGAGGAGAAAGATGCGTTTTTCTTTTTACAGAAGCTCAATTGGCCGATAACTATTGATTATACTGGAACGGTCCGAAGTCCAGGTGCAGATCTCAACTTTGACAGTTATTTGGTCCCTTTGTGCATCTGGTTGAGGAGTGCAGTAGAGTTGCCCAATGTTCAATGTCAAGGGTGGAGCCCTGTGAACGCCACCTGCTGCTATTCCATGGAGAGCTGCACACACTCCGTTTGACCCTGTTGCTGATCATATTTTCGTGCTGCAAGAGATAAATCCATACAGACACACACACATATAGAGAGAGTATATGTATACATAGATGTTTTTTCTTCCTTCTTGTATATATCTACTCACCTATGGAGTACATCTCCAGCTGCTGGCGCAGACGGACCTTTTGTAAACTGTCGTAGAAGTTGGGCTCTGGGCTGCTGCCGACGGTTGGAGGCAGAGTAAAGATGCGCATGATCTTCCTCTTATTTCTGAATTGTTTGCAAGGGAAATAAAAGCAAGACATTGTCTTACACCCCATTATATACTGTATATATGTATGTATGTATATTTCACAAAATATAACAATAAAAAATGCAAACGCATTTCGAGAAAGCAGGAGATAAATACTATCGTAAGAATAAACAAAGCGTAGTTTTAAAACCTGCAGAGATTTACATATAATCTTAATTACAGTTGTTACAAGTTAGTAGTGATAGACAAACAGATAAAAACACTGAGAGAGCAGGACAAAATGGGGACGAGAACTGCGCTTACTTTCTGGCGTACATAAGCAGACCGAAGCTGACTAGGATCACTAGCAGGTACACATTGGTGGCCTCATTCCAGGCTTCGTGCACCGAGTAGTCGAGAGACTCAGGCTCGTTCCCCAAAACCCCGTGAGCGCCCATTAATGCTGGCGGATTATGTGTCAAATATTGCAATGTCTTTCCGTTTTTATGGCGAGAAACGCTGTATTTAACTCTCCACCACCATTGACCGCTGTTGTAAATACGCCTACGTCACTTCCGGGTTCGTTACTTTTTCTGTTTTCTAAATCTGAACACGTTATCATCGAGCTACGACACTGCCACCTAGACACAAAAACCTGAACTGCTGATATGTAATGTAATGTAAATTGTTACTACAAACATACTTAAAATGTAAAAGATATGGAACAATAATGAAACTACTGAGTACTCTTGTTTGCGCAGGCAGGCTGGAAAGAGGCCTACCCAACCAAGCAATGTTTAGCAGTTAGCCACCAATAGCAATCGTTTTCCATACCTCTGGACTATGGAGAAGATGCCTAATTTTTCACTGAGCTGAGCTACTAGCAAAATGTACCCAGCCTCCCGTTGACATGTGTTGACTTTGTGGATTTAATTTTATCTTAATAACGATTGTCTTTTAATAACGTAATGTATGTTTAGTGTAACGATAAAAGTACACATGACTACGTCGGGTTGGTATATTTTCTTATGGTAATTGGGCTTCATCTTTATAAACTGTTCACCGGTTCTGGTTCAAGGGAGAATGTGTGTTGTGTTTTCAGGGTTTGTTTTGCTTCTGGAATATTCAAATTTACCCAAAACAAAAGGTATTTAATTATATAAATATTATATAAAAATAATATTTTTTAAGCAAAGTACTTATAAAATTTATACTTTTCTCATTTTCTGAATTCGGTTCCATATTACCGTAAACATGAAAAGCACTGCGCAGAAGGAAACAGATGTGGGTAGTGGTTACCGTGTTTACGGTTCCTATAGTAACAGAAAATACCTGGAGTACGGTACCAGAAGGCTTAAACCAAACTGGTTAAAAAGTTGAAAGCTCTAATTAATTTATTAAAAGTTGTAATTGAGGGCAGGTAACAGTAAAAGATGGCTTCATCTGGCGACGACAAGGCTCAGTTGGCAGTTTTTCTGCAGCCGAGGGGAGAAGACCAGCAGCTTGTTTTACAGGAGTTTAAGGACGAATTATCGATGAGGATGGTGGCTCATAAAAAACTGCTGCGACACAGGCGGAGCCAGGAAAAACAGAGGCAACGCAACACAATGTAAGTCAATATAATTATATTTTGTTAATATATAATTATGTGTGTTTTACTGTGTGATAAAACTTTGTAATAACAAAAGTTTTGTCCGCATTTTGGACCTAATTAAACGTCCGGGAGAAAACCGGAAATAGCTCTGTATGACTGACCGTCTATTTTGAAAATAAGTAAAACATTTTTCTGAAAAGTGAAATTACCGATTGAATTAAACATTATGTTAACAACATATACAACACTTTTAATGCCAAACCCGCTAAAGTATTCGACTACCTTTCAGAATTATTTTACAAACATAGTTTGAAACAGCTTGTTTTAATTTCTCATTTTTTCTTCATTTAAATCCACGTTCTTAAGAAAAAAAGAATCATTTCCGTGTATTATACAGGACTAAACTAAGCAAGACATGTACTCAATGTAATAATTTTTTTAATTCAAATTTTATTTTATTTTTTTTAACAAGGGAGTCAAGAGCAATGAAAATCTACAGAAGAAGCAAAGAGCAGAACGAAGCCCGCCGTCCTTCTCCAGAGCCACAGTTTCCACCTAATGTACGTCTGCAGACTGTATTCACTTTAACGTAAGCACAGTGACTTCTGCAGACTGTATTCACTTTAACGTAAACACAGTGACTTTAATACATTAATAATGTGATCTCTGTGATGTTTGATTTGCAGATGTTTAGTGAAAAACGGAAGCAAAGGGTGAGTTTTGTTTGTTTCAGTCTAAACACATTTACCCATGTTTGATTATCCTAATAATAGAATTTACTCTGACTGTTATGGTGTCAGAACATAACATGAAACATGTGATTCGTGTAATTTGGCAGATGAACTTTGAATTCCTAAAGCAGTGTGTGGAGAGCCGGCCACTCCATCCAATCCAGCATCATTGGTTGGACTCCATTGTCTCTCGTATCCCACCGAAACTAAAAGACAGCCCAGAGTTTATAAAACTGCTGCAGGAGCTGTGCACAGAAGTCAGCGATGACTTCCACAATGTCTTAGTCAAGCACACAGGTAAAGGCTACTTCTTATTTATATGTAGCTTTTTACCAGGTAAACAATGATTCATGTATTTTTTTCTGCCATCTAAAGTGGAGACTGTACTGCAGAATCCAGACATGGATGGTATCTCAGAAAACCAGACAGCCAAGGGACCAAAGTAAGTTTTTGCCAGATTTTTTAAAAATTTATTTTAATTTTTACCAACTTAAAAAAATACACGGGACCAAAGTAAGTTTTTGCCAGATTTAAAAAAAAAAATTATTATAATTTTTACCACCTTAAAAAAAATACACTTTTCCTTTTTTTTTGTCAGAATACTTGAATTTTCCCAGTCTCTCCACGACAACCTTCTCAAAAGTCGCCGGATGATTAAAACACATTTGCACATCCTTCATCCTGTAATGCAAACTGTTTTGGAAATTGGCTACAAAACATTTTCTACCCTTGTTCTGGCTGACATTTCAGGATGTAGGTAGGAAATGAAGCACATTTGTCAACATGAGAACTCAACCATTGGGGGATTTTGGTCAACTGTCTTTTCAATTCTTTTGGCTTGAGTTGGTCCAGGACGTCGGGTGCTGTGGACTGTAAGAGTCTTCAGAACAAAATGGCCGTGGAGTGTAAGAGAACAGAAGACCGCATCATGAATACTTGGTTTCCTAAAGTCATCCACCTACTAACTAGTAAGGAAACGCTTAGAGGACTTAAAGAGGAGAAACTGGACTCCTTTTACAACTGTGCATCCACACTCATCTCTAATCAGGTAATGCTGTGATAATGATTCTGCACAGTAAAGCCTTGGGTTTTTATAAAATAAAAAATAGTTTTTTATAGTATTATTATTATTATGTCTCCTTTGCAAAGTTAGACTTACAGTCATTCTTCTCTTGTTAAATTCCCAGTTGAAATCCTTACTTCAGGCAAACGTGGAGGCTTTCGTCACAGTGTTTGATCTGAATAGTGACCACTTACCCCTGTTCCGAATGGCCTTGACGTTCGATGATGAAAAGATGGAAATTTACCCCACCTTACAGGATGTGGAGGCTGCTGTGTTTGAGAGTCTTCATGCCATTACAAACACACTGCAGGTGAAGTCGGACTGTGAGTGAAATGACTGTAAAACTGTCCACTGAACTAATGAGTCCTGGACCTGACCCACAGAGAGTCCAGACAGTCCAGGCCTGGCTGACTCAAGCTTCATCTTCATTTGTGGACGCCAAGGTGGCCGATCACACACTTGACTGGGCGCGGGCGACATTAAAGACAGCCGTGTGTGGAAATCTGGAGGGAGCAGATCAACATTTCCAGAGTTATGGTGATGACTTATTTAAAGTGCTAAAAAGAAGGATGTCTGATATTCCAATATTGTCCAAACACGTAATTTCCGGTTCTGATATCAACCGATACCGATATATGCAGCCGTTTAAAGACAGAGGACACATTTCATTATGTTCAGTCACACTGACAGTAATTCACTTTCACTTCAAACCTAATTTTAGGTCACATCACCTGGGTGAAACCCAGGCATTGCAAAACGATAACGATTCTTATCGATATTACATTACTAATCTAACATCGGACATCCCTAATTGGTGTCTCGTGAAAAATATTCTAGGTGGCGCTGTACCATATTAAGCTAGTTTCAGTTACTATCCCAACACAGTTTAACGCAAACCTTATTTTTCAGTTTCACAGTATGACTGGCTCGTCAATGGAACTGCACAGTCCGAAGTGAAGACATTCATCGAAGAAGAGCACTCTTTTGAAGAATACACCCAGGTGGTAACAATGAATATTCCAGAGAAAAACATATTGTATCTGATAATAGTCAGACGCACCAATTTTGCTGATTTTATTTGTTTTTGTTTTTTCAGAAAGTGGAAAACTTCAGCACTTTGTCTAAAGAGATCATCAGCCTCCCAGGAAAGTTTCACTTTCCAATGGTGCTTTTGGACTGTGAAGAGCTGAAGCAAGGACTGGCCAACAAAGTCAAATCCTACGCTGACATACTTCTGAAGAAAATGGTCGACAGCCATCGTGAACAAAATTTAACGTAAGTTACAGTTGATAGAGTTTGTCACTCTGGGTTTACCAGCTTAAACTTTTTTTCATATGCTCTTTGTCAAAGGATCAGCTCTGAATTTGAAACCATCAAACAAAAAGCTCTGAAAATTCCTGAAAATACAGAAGAGCTGATCCAGCTGATGGATTACATTCAATTCGTCAAGACTAAAGGTGTGGAAGACCTGAAAGAAATGATACAGAAATCTGGCTGCAGGAGCATCTACCTCATGGACTTCCACGTCTTTGACCCCGAGGATCTTTCCCTTAATGCCAAAGTTTTCCTCTGGCCTAAAAACATTCTTCATGTTTTTCAGCTTAGTGACGAGGTAAGGATTCTAATGCTAAAAAATGGATTTGACCTGAAGTTCCCTTTCCAAGTCCAAACCTTTTTTTTCAAGGGATACTCACGTGATGTTGTCTTTTTCTAGGTCATACAGAAAGCTAAAGAGACAGGCGAGCAGGAGTTGTTTGCTAAGAGGCAAAGACTGACTGTTCAACTGGAGAAGTTGGGACGCAGAAGTGAGGAGTTCCAGCATTGTGCTGAGCTGGAGATGATTCAACAGGTATGAAAAAATGAGTTGGACCTCAACAACAAAAGGGAGGGAGGGAATTATAAATAATTAAATTTAATTTGCTCTGCTGGGCCCCCTGTCTAATAGCTCTGCGCTGCTTACTTTAGGAACCAATCCATTAAAGCACTTGAATTTTTTTTTTTAAATTTTATTTATGGAAATTCCTTAATTTCCACCTTTAACGTAACAACTTCATCACAATATTATTTTTTATCCTATTTAAGATACTCAGCTACAGATATGAACCCTTTAATTTCACTTTTTTGGGGTAGTATGTTTCAGACATCAGAACAGTCCACAAACTTCTCCAAGAGGCCGAGGATGAAATAGTCTTCATTAACAAAGAAGAGACCTTCTACAAAATTGATCTGACATCTTACCCAGAAGTTCACGTCATCAGAGAAAATGTTGGACTGTACCAGAAACTGTTTGGACTTGTGTTGAACTGGCAACGGACCGAGAACAGGTCTTATTCCATTCCCTCATGTTGTATTAAAAAATATATATTTATACATATTTGTATGTAAATGTATTATATATGCATATATACATATATATCCCTATATAAATTTATATAGACATATATATATAATATACATAATATTTCATACCCTAAATCCCTGCGTCCTCTTCGTGTCCAGATGGATGAACGGACCATTTGAGGAGCTGGATGGGATGTCCCTGGAGACGAACCTGGACGAGTTTTTCAGGGACATCTTTAAGATGCTCAAGTTCTTTCAACAGAAGCAGAACAGAGATGAAAAAGATGCTGAGAAGGTTTTCAGGAAGACGGGCGACGACGAGCCAAAGAAGCAGGAGAGCCCCTCTGTGGTTCTGTGCTCGGCTGTGATGGAGCAGATAAAGGAGTTTAAGGTGAAGCGTGTGATAATAATGATGTGGAAACATCAGGCGAGTTCACTGTGTGATACAGAGTGAATCATGATGTGGAAACATCAGGCGAGTTCACCGTGTGATACAGAGTGAATCGTGTGTGTGTGTTCACAGGACCGTATCCCTCTGGTGTCCATCCTGTGTAACCCAGGCATCAGAGCTCGACACTGGGACCAGATGTCAGAGATCGTGGGCTATGACCTCACTCCAGATTCCAGTACCACACTTCGCAAAGTTCTCCAACTAAACCTGTCTCCTTACCTGGAGGAGTTTGAGTCAATCAGTGCGGCCGCTACTAAGGTGAGAGCTCCTCATATGTTGTAGTTTTTTAATTAAAAAACTAAAATAGTGCGTACAACAAGTCTCTTCTGCCTCTACAGGAGTTTTCTTTGGAGAAAGCCATGCAGACCATGACGCATGTTTTGGATGGTATTTCCTTCCACCACCAGGCTTACAGAGAGACGGGCGTCTCCATCCTCACTGCAGTGGACGAGATTCAGACAGTTCTAGATGATCAGATTGTGAAGACTCAGACCATAAGAGGCTCACCTTTCATCAAACCTTTTGAAAAGGAGATCAAGGCTAGCGTTCTGGTTTTGTTACTAAATTTCTAACTTCAAATTTAGATTTTTTTTCAAAACGAGGCACAACTCTTTTCGTTTCTGCACAGCTGTGGGAGGAACGTCTGCTTCGTATTCAGGAGATCATCGACGAGTGGCTGAAGGTCCAGGCTCAGTGGCTGTACCTGGAACCCATCTTCTCCTCCCAGGACATCATGCAGCAGATCCCGACAGAGGGAAGACTATTTCAAACTGTCGACAAAAACTGGAAAGAAATCATGAGGCACTGCGTGAAGGACTCTAAGGTACTGCTCAGAATGACAAATGATGAAAAACCAAACAGCAAACAGACTTTTTATTTAGCTTTAATTTTTTTAAAACCATGATACAGATTCTACCAGCAACCTCACTTCCTGGTTTGCTAGAGAAACTAAAGGATTCCAACCTCCTCCTGGATAACATCATGAAGGGACTGAATGCCTACCTGGAGGAGAAGCGTCTCTTTTTTCCACGGTAAATAAAACTAGTTTACACGCAATCCCATGTTGGAATCTTTTTTTGTGTTTTTTTTAAACAACAATTATTTTCCTTCAAGATTTTTCTTCCTGTCCAATGACGAAATGCTAGAGATTCTGTCAGAGACCAAAGACCCTCTGCGGGTGCAACCACACCTGAAGAAATGTTTCGAAGGCATATCTAAGCTGGACTTTCTACCCAACCTGGACATCCAGGTCAGAAGGTTTTGAAAATGGCTGCTGTTACATGGTTTAGTGGAGTTCCCTTTAATTGTGACTTGTTCATTTTTAGGCCATGTACAGCAGTGAAGGAGAGCGTGTTCCACTCATCAGGCATATTTCTACGTCTGAAGCCAAAGGAGCGGTAGAGAAGTGGTTGGTCCAGGTGGAGGACGTGATGCTTCGCAGCGTTAGAGACGTAGTGGCCCGGTCCAGGCTGGTGAGATCACGTTTCTTCATACCTCTGGCCTCCCAAACATTCATCAGCTTCTGGCCGGGGATGCTCTTTAAAACCCATAGACGATGCTGCAAAACATGTCAAGAAACATCAACTTTTAGAATGTGTTTTTTCTACGTATTCTTACTTTTATTCAACAATTATTGAATTTATCAACAGGCCTATGCTGAATCACAGAGGAAAACCTGGGTTACAGAGTGGCCTGGTCAGGTGGTCCTCTGCACATCCCAAATATTTTGGACCATGGAGGTGCATGAAGCCATCAGATCAGGACCAGACGTAAGTCTTTACTTTAAGTTACTTTTACTCCAAGTTACTTTTAATTAATACAGCTTTTTTTAGTTTGTTTTTTTTCTGTGATGTTTGATATTTAACCTAATCTGTTACAGTCTGGTTAAACATCATTCAGGGACAGATTGATTCAGACCCAATGGCTGTGTAATAATTTGACATTATATAAAATATCTCACACTTGGCCTCTGTTTTTGTGCAGGGTTTAAAGAACTTCTACCAGCAACAGCAGAATCAGCTCAACGACATTGTAGAACTGGTCAGAGGAAAACTGCCTCAGCAAACACGGACCACTCTGGGAGCGCTGGTCACTATTGACGTACACGCCCGGGACGTGGTCCTGGACCTCATTGACAAAGGTTACAGCATGTCAGAGATCCAAAGAAAGTTTCTTCTTTGCAGTGTTTGGCTGCAGCTCCGTAGTTATAATTTGTCTTCTTTGAACAGGCGTGTCTCACGAAACAGAATTCCAGTGGCTCGCCCAGCTGCGTTACTATTGGATTGATGACGACGTCCGCGTCCACATCATCAACTGTGATGTCAAGTACGCTTACGAGTACCTGGGAAACTCACCGCGATTGGTCATCACTCCTCTGACTGACAGATGCTACAGAACCCTGGTAAAAGAGCTGACACACGGATGACACGATATTCGTACTCGCAACCTCTTTTACTTCTGAGTTTTTTTGTCTTAGATCGGAGCTTTCTTCCTGAATTTGGGCGGAGCGCCGGAAGGTCCAGCAGGAACAGGAAAGACTGAGACCACCAAAGATCTCGCCAAAGCTTTAGCTGTACAGTGTGTGGTCTTCAACTGTTCTGACGGACTGGACTACATCGCTATGGGCAAAGTGAGACCAGCAGACGGAGATGGATTTGTGTCCATCAGTTACCCAGATCACATGAACTCTGCTTTAATCTCCTTCAGTTTTTCAAAGGACTGGCTTCGTCCGGCGCCTGGGCGTGCTTCGACGAGTTCAACCGCATAGAGCTGGAGGTGTTGTCCGTGGTGGCCCAGCAGGTGCTCTGCATCCAGAGGGCCACCGAGCAGAAGCTGGAGTTCTTTGACTTTGAAGGCACGATGCTCAAACTCAATCCCAACTGCTTTGTGTCGATAACAATGAACCCTGGATACGCCGGACGGTCAGAACTTCCAGACAACCTCAAGGTCCCAAACTGCTGTTTCCTTTGATTTGATTGTAGCAACTTTAAGGGCTGTAAAAGCATGATCAGTGATGAGCTTTTCTCTCTTCTCTCTGTGCAGGTGTTATTCCGGCCTGTGGCCATGATGGTGCCCAACTACGCACTGATAGCGGAGATCTCTCTGTATTCCTACGGCTTCCTCAATGCCAAGCCCTTGTCTGTGAAGATCGTCATGACCTACAGGCTCTGCTCGGAGCAGCTCTCCTCACAGTTTCATTACGACTACGGCATGAGAGCAGTCAAAGCCGTCCTGGTGGCGGCAGGAAACCTCAAGCTCAAGTTTCCACACGAGAATGAAGACATACTGGTATATGTTTGAAAACCCTGCCCTCAGTTTTTTTCTTTTTGATAAATCACAAGGATCATATGACATCTTGCGTTGTTTGTTACATTCAGCTCTTACTCAGCCCTGGTTTTAAATGTTAGCCTTTTAGAGTGAACTTTAGTTGTTGTTTTTTTTTGCCGTTGTTGAAACACCCAGATCCTGAGGTCCATAAAAGATGTGAATGAGCCCAAATTTCTCTCCCATGACATTCCTCTGTTCAACGGAATTGCCAGTGATTTGTTCCCAGGAATCTCCCTCCCCCAGGCTGATTATAAGGTGATTTAAATGAATGTCATCGTAACTACATCAGTGATACAGTTTTATATCAGTCATTGTTTTGGTTTGTTTTTTTCAAACATCTTTTGCAGCTGTTTCTAGAAGCTGCTGCTGAATGTTGTAAAAAACACAACGTCCAATCAACAGATGTCTTCTTACAGAAGATGATACAGACGTATGAGATGATGATCGTCAGACACGGGTATGGTTTCAGTCCAATGCATGGATATATATATTTACATGTATATATGTTTGAGTTTCTCTGTCCAGGTTCATAACTTGCTCATTACTTACTCTTCCAATGCATGGATATATATATTTACATTTGTGAGTCTCTCTGTCCAAGAGGGAAATTAGGTTCAAAATCTTCATAACTCACTCTTGTGAATCTGTTACTATTCAATGTCAGATTCATGCTGGTGGGAGAACCGTTTGCAGGAAAGACCAAAGTTCTTCATGTGCTCGCAGACACCCTGACTCTTATGAATGAGAGAGGTCATGGTGGAGAGGAAAAGGTCATCTTCAGGACTCTCAACCCCAAGTCCATCACCATGGGACAGCTCTTTGGACAGTTTGACCAAGTTTCTCATGAGGTAGACTTCATTAACTTCTTCCTGCTGCTTTTATTTCATGTTTTATGGAAACTGTGATGTTTTTTTTCTTTTTCATTGAAGTGGACAGATGGGATCGTGGCCAACACTTTCCGCGAATTTGCGTCATCTGAAACGCCACACCGTAAATGGGTGGTGTTTGATGGTCCGATAGATACGCTGTGGATCGAGAGCATGAACACTGTGTTGGACGACAATAAAAAGGTAGGAGTGTGTGTCGAACTCAAGGATCTTGGGCCGAGTCTAGCCCATCAAATCTTGTTATGCGGCCCATCAGATCCTCACAAGTCTATGGTTGTCATAAGTTTTGTACTAATGTGTACTGGGTAGGTTCAATGCGCAGGTCAAATTCTGTGAGTGTGTAACATATGCATGACATGACCTTTCTCTCCACAGCTCTGTCTGATGAGCGGTGAGATCATCCAGGTGTCTCCTCCGATGAGTCTGATCTTTGAAGCTATGGATTTATCACAGGCTTCTGTAAGTCACATATTTGTAGACAGTAGTGGGACAGCAATGGCTCAGTTACAACTTGATGTGACATGTGTTACTGATACACTTCTGGTTCCCCTGAAGCTTGGATTAGAGCTTGGTTTTCACTTGAGTTCTTTAAAGTTACCTTTGAATCCAGACTGAAATGACTAGAGTTGATGAACACAGACCAGTGGATCATGAATGGATAACAACACGTGGTTCTTCCTGGCCTCTAGCCTGCCACTGTCAGCCGATGTGGTATGATCTACATGGAGCCCTCTCAGCTGGGCTGGCACCCCCTGGTGGTCTCCTGGATCAACTCTCTTCCTGACGTCCTCCAGAGTTCAGAGCAGCGCTCACTGCTGCTCGACCTCTTTCACTGGCTCTTGCCTCCCGCCCTGGGGGTCCTGCGCAGAAACTGCAGGGTGAGTCACTGTGTGGCAAAAAGCAGCAAATATTTAGCGTTTAGTTCACAGCTCTGAATGACAGTGGTTTGTCATGACGGATGATGATGATGTTTTTGTTTTTGTTTTTCCAAGGTCGTTTCCACCAGCAACAGTAACACTGTGGTGTCCTTGTGTCGACTGTTTGAGATGATCATCACCCAGCCTCTAAAAGACAATCCTGATGATAAAACTATTCACACCTGGATCATGGTAAAAGTTATTATTCTCATTTTAAATTGGTGTTGAACCATTTCCAATTTTCATTTATTCCAATTTTTTTTTTTTTTCACTCTTGCATCGTGGCTGCGTTTGCGTTCTCTCTGGTTTGGTCTGTGGGCGGCAGCTGTGACGCAGAGAGCAGAGAGAATTTTAGCCACTTTGTCCGAGTGACCGTCTCAGGAAAATCAGAGGATCATCCTCTGCCCACCAGCGTGGGGAAATGGGAGTGTCCCTTCAACGACAAAGGCTTGGTGTATGACTACTTTTACGAGGTGCCGATCACTTATGTCACTCAGAGGTGCTGATGTTGACTGTTATACACAACTTGCCTTTTTTTAAAAAACAAATACTGTCACGGAAAGTTTAAAGGAAAAGGACGCTGGGTTCACTGGAATGACGCCATCGGTGACGTCTTCCTGGGAGACAAAAACACCAAAGTGCAGGACATCATTGTTCCCACCATTGACACGGTTCGCTACACTTACCTGATGGACCACTGCATCACTCACGGAGCGTTAGTATTTTCATCACTGCCACATTTGAAAGTGCTTCGTTACCACAAACCAAATGTTCCATTGTTTTGTTTTGTTTTTTGTCTTTCTGCTCAGACCTGCTCTGTTCGTTGGTCCGACCGGCACTGGGAAGTCAGTGTATGTGAAAGAGAAACTGATGAACCATCTGGACAAAGACAGATATTTGCCCTTCTTTGTTAACTTTTCAGCTCGCACGAGTGCAAACCAAACACAGGTGAGAGTCATGCTGCCACCTGGGATCACACTGTACTATTTGAAAACACCATCCATCCATCCATCCATTTTTCATGTGTTTTATCCTTCAGAATATCATTACGGCAAAGTTAGATAAGAGGAAGAAGGGAGTATTTGGTCCACCAATGGGGAAGAAGTGTGTCATCTTTGTGGATGACATGAACATGCCTGCACCAGAACAGTTTGGAGCGCAGCCTCCAGTGGAGCTCCTCCGACAGTACATCGACCACAGACACTGGTGGGTTTGTGGTCTGGTCTTCTGTTTCAGATCAGTTCACTGTTGTGATGAATCTGACACAAAATGAAAATGTAAAATCGTTATGTCCTGTTAGGTATAATCTGAAGGATACTTCCAAGATCACTCTGGTTGACATCCAGCTCATCTCAGCTATGGGGCCCCCCGGTGGAGGGAGGAATGCAGTGACGGCACGATTCTTGCGTCACTTTAACATTTTTGCCATTAATGCCTTCAGTGATGAAACAATGGTTCGCATCTTCTCGAATGTGGTGGCCTTCCATCTCCAGAACAATGAATTCTCACCAGAGTATTTCACTGTGGGCGACCAGATAGTCACTGCCACCATGGAAGTAGGTGAACTGGTTTGGACACAATCACATTTTTTTTATTATGTTTGAATGTTACTAAGTACTCAGTATGAGTGTTAATGGTTTCATACCTATAGAGCAAAATGACAGTTTTAGCTAAAAGTCACACTTTAGGTTAGACCTTGGTATTTTACAGTGATGAATTTTTTAAGTTAGGTCCATCAATATATCCTGAAACCTCATAAGTTTCTCTGAATTTCATTGTCTATTTCATTGCTTTAGTTTTCCGATCACTCACTAATATTCTAATCTCTACAGGTCTATAAAAAAGCAATGCAGAATCTGCTTCCGACTCCTGCCAAGTCCCACTACACCTTCAACCTGAGGGACTTCTCGCGTGTCATCCAGGGCTGCCTGCTGATGAAGAAAGAGTCTGTGCAGAACAAACGCACCATGATTCGCTTATTTGTTCATGAGGTTTTCCGGGTCTTCTACGATCGACTGGTGGACGACAAAGATCGCGGTTGGCTCTATGAGCTGACGAAGAGCATCCTCAAAGATCACTTCAAGGAGTCTTTTGATCAGGTGTTTGATCATCTGAAGGAAAAGAGTGAAGTAAGTTACGCACACACACACAGGGAGAACATGCAGACGTTACAGGACCAGATAAATGAACATCTGTGGTTCGTCGAACCCTTTTGTTTCTCAGTTGTGTGAAGAAGACATGAGGAACCTTCTGTTTGGAGACTACATGAACCCTGACCTGAGTGGTGAGGAGCGTCTGTACGCCGAGGTGACATCGATGAAAGATTTTGCCCAGGTGGTGGGTTCCTGTCTGGAAGAATACAACCAAATGCACAAGAATCACATGAACCTGGTCATTTTCCGGTAAAGAGAATTTATTATAATAATGTTTATTTATTTTAAAAAATGACAATGTTTTGCCTGTTTAAGAAATCCTGCTTTTTTTGTAGCTACCTGCTTGAGCACCTGTCTCGCATCAGCCGCGTGCTGAAGCAGCCGGGAGAAAACGCGCTGCTTGTAGGAGTCGGAGGAAGTGGACGTCAGTCCATTACGCGTTTGGCGGCGTCGATGGCTCACATGACCGTATTTCAGCCTGAGATCTCTAAGAGTTACGGCATGGCTGAATGGAGAGATGATCTCAAGGTCGGCTGTTTGGTTGAGATTTGTTTTTTTAGTATTCAGAATAAATGAATGATTGTCTAGGTCTGCAGGGAACATGGCAGTATTCAGAATAAATGAATGATTGTCTGGGTCTCCAGGGAACATGGATAATGTGACATATATTCCTATATACTGTATATTAGATATATCGTAATATATATGTCATGTTCTTTATATTTTTATTCATGCATGACCTACTGATTCAATGATTCTTCATTTTTTTACTAGATGCTGCTTAAAAATGCTGGTGTGAAAGGTCAGAAGATGGTTTTCCTGTTGACTGATGCCCAAATCAAAGATGAAGGTTTTCTAGAAGACGTGGACAGTGTCCTGAACACCGGAGAGGTCCCTAACCTGTTCGCCATGGACGAGAAGCAAGAGATAATGGAGGTACGTTTTAAAGATGATTTTTACCTTTTTTTTGCATAAACATCCTGTTTGTTAATTGAAAATGTTTTCCTCTTAATCCAGGCTGTTCGACCCGTTGCCCAGGCCGGCAATAAAAATTTAGAGTTGAGTCCTCTTACTCTGTTTGCCTTCTTTGTGGCACGCTGTAAAGAAAACCTCCATATTGTCGTGGCCTTCAGTCCAATTGGTGATGCGTTTCGAAATCGTCTGCGCCAGTTTCCCGCTCTCATAAACTGCTGCACCATTGACTGGTTTCAGGTACGACACAGACACAAGGAAAACCTAAACTGATCCGGTTCCCGTAGACAGCAGTTCTAACCACAGATCACGTCCGTTTGATGTCTCCGTCCTAACAGCCGTGGCCGGAGGAAGCTCTCGAGCGTGTGGCCAACTCCTTCCTGGAGTCGCTGGAGATGAGTGAAAATGAACGGCGGGAAGTCGTACCGATCTGCCAAACCTTCCACACCTCTGCCCACCAGCTCTCTCAGAGGTTTGACATTACATATATTGTACTGCAGCTTGTGTACAGCAGGGGTCGGGGACTAGTGCCGGTCCGTATGTTATTTGGTACCGGGCCGCAGTGGTACTTCAGTTTTACTAATTTACTTCATTCAAAAATAATCCAGTCATATCTCTTTACTGTTTTCATTCAAAGATAATCTGTCAATGTTTCAAAACAGACTCTCATACTAACAAAATAAAGTTTAAAAGATGTTTTATTTTGAAAATGTAATGATCCTGGTGTGGTATTACCTGTCCACAGTAACGGCTGGTACCGGCTGACCGGTCCTTGGTACAATAATGGTTGTGGACCGCTGGTGTGTGGTATGTGAGGGAAAATGTGTACGTTAATACAAGACTTTCCACACTGTAGATTCCTGACTGAGCTTGGGCGTCATAATTACATAACACCCACCTCCTACCTGGAGCTGATCGCTACTTTCCGTCAGCTCCTGACTCAGAAAAGAGACACGGTCATGAAGGCCAAGCAGAGGTACATCAGCGGTCTGGATAAGCTAGCCTTTGCTGAATCTCAGGTAGGTGCAGAACACATTTGATTTATTTTTTTCTTCTTTATTTTATTAGATGTCTTTCATTAGCAGTCTTTTTTTTATTCTATTTTCTACTTAATCACTTAATTTTGATAATGTCTTTCTAAAGGTGGGTGAGATGAAGAAAGAGCTGGAGGAGCTGCAGCCCAAGCTGGAGCAGGCCAAGATAGAAAATCTTGAAATGATGAAGGTAAAAGAAAATATATTTTTATATTGCCCTGACTTGGAATATAACTAAATGTAAACATGGGGATTTTTAAATGTGTAATTAAAAACTTTCATGGGTCATAACCTCACTCAGTGTCCGAAAAGGTACTTTGGGAACATACTGACACCTAGAGGCAGAAATAAAAAATCAGGAACAGTATATGATGTATTTTATTATATGTTAAGGTGATTGAAGTGGAATCTCTGGAGGTGGAAGCTAAAAGTAAAGTTGTGCGTGTGGATGAAGAGGCGGCAACAGTTAAAGCCAATGAGGCGAAGGCTCTGAAGGATGACTGTGAGAGTAACCTCGCCGCCGCTATCCCTGCCCTGGAAGCTGCTCTCTCTGCACTGGACACTCTGAAGGTGAGCAACCCTGTGACCACGCAGCTTCTCTACACCAGTTTCTACACACATCTACACAAATGTAATTTCTCATCCTGGTTTCCCATCAGCCATCTGACATCACGATTGTGAAGTCGATGAAGAACCCGCCCTCAGGGGTGAAGCTGGTTATGGCGGCTGTGTGTGTGATGAAGGACATTAAGCCAGATAGGATTTCTGACCCAGCTGGAACTGGAAAAAAGGTCAGTCTACTCAGAAGATATTTTTTTTACCACATATGAAACTTTTACTTGTATTGGAACCTTGTTTTTTGTCGTTGTACAGGTGTTTGACTATTGGGGTCCGAGCAAGAAGCTGCTGGGAGACATGAACTTCTTGCGCGACCTGAAGGAATATGATAAAGACAATATTTCTGTGAGTGGTTGATGACCATGAGCAGTCAAGTGAAAAAGTATTTTTCAAACCGATCTTGGTTCTTTTTTGATTGCAGGTCACTGCGATGCAAAAAATACGAAGCGAGTACATGACCAATCCTGATTTTGACCCCAGTGTCGTGGCAAAGGCCTCGTCTGCAGCCGAGGGTTTGTGCAAGTGGATAAAAGCCATGGAGGAGTACGACAGAGTGGCCAAGGTGCAGTGTTCCTGACTGTTGGTGCCTTGAGAACACATGCTGGACGTTCTCACCTACTGGGTCTCTGTGTATTGATGCAGGTTGTGGCTCCTAAGAAGGCCAGTTTGGCAGAAGCCCAGGAGTCCCTGGCCTCCACCATGGCCCTGCTGGACCAGAAGAGGGCTGAGCTGAAGGAAGTTGAGGATCGTTTAGCCGCTCTTAAGAAAACCTCTGCGGAGAAGATGGAGGAAAAGGCTCAGTTGGAGCTGCAGGTGGATTCATGTGCCAGGAAATTAGAGAGAGCTGAGAAACTCATCGGTGGTCTGGGTGGAGAGAAGACCAGGTGATGAGGCACAGCCGTTAATTCTTTTATTTAAATTAGGGTCCATGAAGGAAATCCTTGACCGGAATGTTCTTTTTCTAGATGGTCAAAGGCGGCAAACGAGCTACAGAACACCTACGACAACCTGACTGGAGACGTTCTCATTTCTGCCGGGGTCATCGCCTACCTCGGTGCTTTCACTGCTGGTTTCAGACTGGACTGCACCAAGTCTTGGACCAAACTCTGTCAGGTAGCACTTCCTTTGTCCTTCTTTACGTTTTTATACCTTCATGTCTTCAACATTGGCAGTGAGCATGAGTCAAGTTAGTCCTACAGTCTTACATCTGTTCCATACTGTCCAGTTGAAGAAGATCCCGTCGTCAGATGAGTTTTCCCTCAGTAAAACTCTGGGCGATCCCATCAGGATCAGAGCGTGGAATATCGCAGGTCTTCCCAGTGACTCTTTCTCCATTGACAACGGCGTAATTGTCAGTAACTCGCGTAGATGGTGAGTCTGTGTGGCTGCAGAATTGTGGTTCACATTTCATCTAGTTACCACTGAAGGTCAAAGGAGTGTCGTAAGTTCATCGTTTTTGCTTTCTGTCCAGGCCCTTGATGATTGACCCTCAGGGCCAGGCCAACAAATGGGTGAAGAACTCGGAGAAAGACAACAACCTTAGTGTAATAAAGCTGACAGACATGGACTACATGAGGACGGTGGAAAACTGTGTACAATTTGGAACGCCGTTGCTCTTGGAAAATGTAGGAGAGGAGTTAGACCCTTCACTGGAATCCCTGCTGCTCAAACAAACCTTCAAACAAGGTGATGAGAATTTTTATATATACATAATATATATATATGTATATTTATGCTGTTAACACAAGAACAATAAAGTTCAAATTATGTTATTATTATATATATATATTATCTTTTTTCTTTTTTTTTTACACTAGGTGGCGTTGATTGCATCAAACTGGGAGAGAGTGTGATAGAATACTCCGGTGATTTCCGTTTTTACATTACCACTAAACTCAGAAACCCTCACTACCTGCCAGAACTGGCCACCAAAGTCTCCCTGTTGAATTTCATGATCACCCCCGAGGGCTTGGAGGACCAGCTGCTGGGGATCGTGGTCGCAAAGGAGAGGTGAATGTTCACTAAACTTTTCTTTGACGTACAACGTTTGCCTTCACTAAGTTGCTGCCTCGACATTTTCTGTCTACAGACCAGAGCTGGAGGAGGAGAGAAACGCACTGATCCTTCAGTCAGCTGACAACAAAAGGCAGCTGAAGGAAATTGAGGATAAGATCTTGGAGACGCTGCAGTCGTCAGAGGGAAATATCCTGGAGGATGAGAGCGCCATCCAGATTCTAGACTCTGCCAAAATCATGTCCAATGAGATCAGTAAAAAGCAACAGGTACGGACTCCGTGGAAAACCAGAAAAAATATATTGTTTGTGTCAAATTATCAGGGAACGACCAGCAGTAATGTCATCACTTTTTTTGTCAACTTTTTCCAGGTTGCAGAAAAGACAGAGATTGAAATAGCAGAGTCCAGAGAAGGTTACAGAGCCATCGCCAAACACTCGTCCGTCCTGTTCTTTACCATCGCTGAGCTGACTAACATAGACCCAATGTACCAGTATTCTCTCAGCTGGTTTGTGAACCTCTACATCAACTCCATACAAGACAGGTGGGTGATCAACATCAGGGGCGTGGAGGGAGCACGTCAGTAAAATAAGCCAGTAATTGGACGATAAAATCATCAACAAATACACAGTGTCTCTCCTTACACTTCTCCTTACCGTTTTCACTGACAAACTCACCTCAAGCATTAATAATTGTCTCTCTCTCCTTTTCTCTTCAGCATTAAGTCCAAGATCCTGGAGAGGAGACTTCAGAACCTGAACGGTCATTTTACCTACAACCTCTACTGCAACATCTGCCGCTCGCTGTTCGAGAAGGACAAACTCCTCTTCTCCTTCCTCCTCTGCTGTAACCTGCTCCTGTAAGTTAAAAAAAATAAAACAGTTCACTTTGGGTTTTAGATTTTAATCCTTGTGGCACGTACTTGTGTTTGCACACAGAGCGAAAGACGAGATTGAATATGCTGACTTTCTGTTCTTGCTGACCGGGGGAGTGGGCCTCCAGAAGACCACGTCGAACCCCGACCCCAGCTGGCTGCAGGACAAGAGCTGGGATGAGATCTGCAGAGCCAGTGAACTGCCTGGTTTGCGTGGTTTAAAGTAAAGGAAGCATTGACTTTACTTAAGATTTCCTCCGTTTGTAGGGATGTAAGGATGTGTCGTGAATCGGTTAAAAATCAATGCAAACGTGTGAGAAGTCGCATCGATTGAAATAAAAAATGAATCACACATCAAGGCGTAAGAGGTAGACTGTTATCTCAAAAAGTCACTGGTCATACTGTGACATTGAACACTCTCGTACAGTAGGTGGCAGTATATGCCTAAAAACATTGGTTGTGACCTGCTAGTCAATGAAGAGGTCACAGGAGAAGAACTTCTAGTTCTTACAAATAAAGAATTGTTGTTTTTGGTCATATATAAAAAATTATGAATTATATGGAATCGTGAACAAAATAAAATTCATATTGTGAGTTGAGTCTATCGTTACATCCCTGCTCGTGTGTACGGTCAGTCGTGTCTCCTGTGTCAATGACGTCAGACTGATGCAGTCGTTTATTCCACAGAGAGGCGTTCATCCAGAGTCCAGGCGACTTCAGGCCCATCTACGACAGCAAGGAGCCCTACAACACTCCTCTGCCTGCACCCTGGTGCGACCAACTGAACCACCTGCAGAAAATGATCGTTCTGCGCTGCCTGCGGCCGGATAAGATTCTTCCAGCTGTGACTAAATATGTGACTTTGAACCTGGGAAAGAAGTTTGTTCAGCCCCCTCCCTTTGACCTGAGCAGGAGTTACCAGGATTCTAACTGCACCATTCCTCTGGTGTTTGTGCTGTCACCGGGAGCTGATCCCATGGCCAGTAAGTCTGACTGATTTAATAGCTTTAATAATGACCAACTGTCACAGACTGATGGAGTCTCCCTCTGCCCCAGGTCTACTGAAGTTTGCCAATGACAAGGGCATGAACGGAACCAAGTTCCAGTCCATCTCCCTGGGCCAGGGCCAAGGCCCCATCGCAGCGAAGATGATCTCCACAGCTATGCAGGAGGGAACGTGGGTGTGTCTGCAGAACTGTCACCTGGCCGTCTCCTGGATGTCCAGCTTGGAAAAAACTTGCGAGGACTTCACTCCCACAACGTGTCACCCAGATTTCCGCCTGTGGCTCACAAGTTACCCGTCACCCAAGGTAATAAAAAACAAACAAAAAAACTGTTGTTCATTTTATATATTTACTATTTAAGACTTTAACACTTCATTTTCAAAATCAGTTTCCAGTGATGATCCTGCAGAACGGGGTGAAAATGACCAACGAGCCCCCTACTGGTCTCAGACTCAACCTACTACAGTCCTACCTCTCGGACCCTGTTTCTGACCCCAAGTTCTTCAATAACTGCCCCAAAAAGGAACTGGTGAGCTTGGGGGAGAGGGAGGGAGGTTATACTTTTTTTTTAAAGTTAATACTTTACTATCTACTACTGATACTTTGCTATTAAAAGGGGTGTCAAACTCAATCCCTCAATAGTCCACAAATTAAAACACAAACTACATTGGGGTCCAAAGAGGATTGAACAGTTATTCAATTCTAATGCTGAGGATGTGTGCTGCCAAGTTTCAAAATGATAATTTCTTTACAATTTGTTTTTTTCTCAAAAATTCAATTTTTCCATAGATCTGGGAGAAGCTTCTCTACGGCCTGTGCTTCTTCCACGCTCTGGTTCAGGAGAGAAAAAAGTTTGGTCCGCTGGGCTGGAACGTTCCGTACGGCTTCAATGAGTCCGACCTTCACATTAGCATCAGGCAGCTGCAGGTATCACTGAAAACCAATCAGCAGGGCTCTGTTGTCAGAACAGTCGATTTAAAAAAAGCGTTTCCTCTGCAGCTGTTTGTGAACGACTACGACGAGGTTCCCCTCGAGGCCGTCACCTATCTGACCGGAGAGTGTAATTACGGCGGCCGCGTCACGGACGACTGGGACCGACGGCTTCTGATGACCATGCTGGCTGATTTCTACACCAAGGACCTGATGGAGAAGCACTGCTACCTGTTCTCACCCAGCGGTGAATACTACGCTCCGCCCAAGTCTACGTACGAGGACTACATCGAGTTCATCAAGAAGCTGCCGGTCAACCAGCAGCCGGAGGTTTTCGGGATGCACGAAAATGTGGACATTTCCAAAGATCTGCAGCAGACGAAGCTGCTGTTCGATTCTCTCCTGCTCACCCAGGGCGGGGGCACCAAGGGAGGGGTGAGCTCCGGGAGTGACAACACACTCTACGATATCGCAAAAGACATCCTGACTAAGGTAAGGAATGTAAATGTAAACAATTCTATTTGTCAGTAGCTGTGAATAGATTTAAAAAAAAAATTACTTCAGTCCAAGTAAAGGATAAGTAGCAAAAACCAACCATGGAGTTGAAAAAAATGTTCATTAATTTATCATTTAAAAAAAAATTAAATCCATTCATTATCCACCATTTATTCATTTTGTAGGAAAGGGAGAAAGTATTTTGATATTTTTAAAAATTCTAAAACTTTATCGAACAACTTTAGTCCCATAAATTGAGAACTTATTAGAGATTTATTCTCATGAATGTACATTTAAATTCTTATAAATTTAGAAGCCCTATAGTCTTGACTGACATGGTAAAATATAATAGTAAAAGAGTTTCAAGTTTGTTTTTTTCCCTTGTAGCTTCCAGAAAATTTTAACACAGAAGCCGCTTTACTGAAATTTCCAGTCCTGTACGAGGAGAGTATGAACACCGTTCTGGTCCAGGAGATGGAGCGCTACAACACGTACGGACGTCACACATCAGCTGTGTGGGGCGCCGCCCCCCAGAGTTATGAGACCCTTCATTCAGTTGTTTACACTTTTTCTCCCTCTATTCCTCAGGTTGTGTAGTTTGATCCGTGTCAGTCTGCAGAACCTGATGAAAGCCATCAAGGGTTTGGTGGTGATGGACGCAGAGTTGGAGGCAGTGGCCAGTAGTCTGGTAGTGGGCAGGATCCCAGAGAAATGGGCCAAGCGCTCCTATCCCAGCCTCAAACCCCTGGGCAGCTACATCTCTGACCTTCTTGCGAGGCTGAAATTTTTGCAGGTGAGACTGTGACAGAGGACATGTCGATTTAAACCCTTCTGAATGAATGAATTTAACTTCCTGTTCCTGTTTGATAGGAGTGGTACGACACACGGGCACCCAACATTTTCTGGATTTCTGGTTTCTTCTTCACCCAGGCCTTCCTCACTGGTGCCATGCAGAACTACGCCAGGAAATACCACGTTCCCATTGACCTGTTGGGTTTTGATTTTGAGGTGATATGGAAATGATTGAAGCAACTTTGCAAAATCAGTCAGGTACAGATTAAAACTCTACTGTATAGTAGCAGCGGAAAAAACTGAGGTTTTGATTTTGAGGTGATATGGAAGTGATTGAAGCAACTTTGCAAAATCAGTCAGGTACAGATTAAAACATCTACTGCATAGCAGCAGCGGAAAAAACTGAGGCAGTCCTGAGGGGAAAAACATAGGATTAGCTATCAGTGTTAGCAATGGTACAAAAGCAAACAGCTATATTTAACTAAGATCAGATTTAAAAAAAAAATATTCACAACAATGGTCGCTAACTTTATAAAACAACCTTTAGGAGACGCTGGAAGTGATACTAGTTCCACTCTCTTTCAGATTCTTCCCACCGATGAGGTCAACACGTCACCTGAGGACGGTGTTTACATCAATGGACTGTTTCTGGATGGAGCTCGGTGGGACAGACACAGGTGGGTTTCATGATATACATTTACATTTTAGTGGCAAAATTGTTGTCAAATTTTTATCTTTGCTACATGATTCTCATCAAATTTTGAGAATTTTCTCACATTTTGTTTTTGGGGGGATTTTTTTTTAGCAAAACCCTTATTTAGTCATTTTTGGTCTGATGTTGAAAAAAAAAAATTTTCTGCACCAACAGCGGCGTCTTGGCTGAACAACAGCCCAAAATCTTGTTCGATGTGATGCCCACCATCTGGATCAAACCCAGTATGTATTTACCATCTGTCCACACTGTCCTCAAAGCAGAAACACAAGTTACTGTTATAAGTTAGTTATATTTTTTAATGTAATGATTATGGCAATAACTCGTGTTCTTGTGTTTGATTTTATGGAATTATTTTAACAGCAAGGCTGTCGTTCACTGAGTTTCTAACACATTATAGAATTTTGGAGTAAAAATGGCTGAAAAAAGAATCTGAAATATGGCAACACAAAATTTGATTTGATTTATTCCATCTTGTCTTTCCCCTCAGCTGAAAAGAAAGGTTGTGGTCAGCAGCACAGACTGTACGTCTGTCCTCTGTACAAGACCAGTGAGAGGAGAGGAACCCTCTCCACCACAGGACACTCCACCAACTTCGTCATCTCCATGATGCTGCCCACCAGCAGGCCCCCTCAGCACTGGGTTAAGCGCGGCGTGGCCCTGCTCTGTCAGCTTGATGACTGATCTAAACTGAGTCATTCACTGGAAAACAACATCAGGTTAATGTCATCTTTAAAAACTCAGAGGACGAAGCAGGGGATAGAAAGAAAAAAAAAAAACAGCTTGATGCAACGATGACTTTATTGGTTGTGTTCTTGTTGACTGTTACAGGTTTTCATCTCTTTCAGTCTACAGGTCTGTAGTGGTCTGAACTAACACCGGTGGTAAACGTGTGGAAAATTAGCATGATGGCGTGACAGCGGCTCTGAAGGAACCTTCTCAAACACACAGCATGGCTCATGATGAAGTTCTAACTTTTTGTTTTGTTTTTTTACAATGTATTGCATCATTGGGATTTTTTTGTTTCATTTTTTTTCGAAAATAGTTTTTCTCATTGTTTTTTGTTTTTTTTACATCTGTAAATATATTGCTGTTTCAGCATAAGCATTGTATTAACTTTACACACAAAACAGAAAGCGACCAAGAAAAGGTAAAATGGAAAACAGAGTTGAGAGAACAATAAGTGACGTCAGTACTCAGACAGAGTCAAAGGAAACACTTATAGTAAGTAAAACGTTAGATGCACACATTTAAGAAAAGCAGCTCAAAGAAAATCAGAAGAATCTTTAAGACTTCACTAAAGATGATTCATCGTAAGGACAGGACAAACAGGAATTATAGTGGTCAATAGACAAGTCCCAAACGCAACCATAGGTGTCGCTGCAGGACGAAAAAAAAAGTAAGACTCAAGTTTAGCAAAGAGTCTGGTGTTTAAATCTAACTTGTCACAGGATGAGACAAAAAAAAAATCTTTCACCAAACAAAAACCTGAACGCAAGCAGCAAATATGCTATAACTTGTCATTTATTTACAATAAAGGTAAACACTTTTTCTTAACATGTGAATGCAACGTTAGTTACTGAACCACACGTGGCGTGGGTGAGGATTGAAACATGCAGAGTTTCAGTGCTCCCTCTAAGCCTTGAGAGTGAAATGGACCACAGCAGGTGGAGAAGGCAGAACAGCTCGCTGTCTTTCCCTGGGCGTTCACTGCTAAAAACCTCATGAGCTGCAGAACCGAGCTCTGTCTTTGAATAAACACCAAACCAGAACAAATTTAACAGTAAAGTGATCTTTTCTACTATCAGGACTCTAACATTTGCCTGGGACCAGACTCCTCTCTCCTGCCTGATCTTCTGCTGGTGGTGGTTATGTTAGAAGCAGTGAATATTTGTCTAAACAGCGTCTAAAAGTTCTTGCTAACTGTATTTCATTCTAACAACCGACTAAAGTGCAAATGACTGTGTGTAGCTTTTAGGCTTGAGCTGCTTTAGCACTGAATATTAACAGTTTAGGCTGGTGGGAAAAAAAAATCAAACTAAAAAAAGCTTCAGTACTATTTCAGCTCCATCTCTGCACTAATCTTTGAAAACATCTGCAGCATTTATAGCCCTGTCACGATATCCGGAGGCTGAACTAATACTTTTTAACTACATTACTTCTAACAGAGAGCAGGATGAGTGGGTTCGTCTGTGCAGTGATGACGAGAAGGCTTTCGCTGAGCTCTATGGCCGTGTGTGGAGAGAGCAGGCGTAGAGGGAGCACTGACTGATTCACTGCTGTCACATCAGTATGTCCAGGTCGTCTGCGTGGTCGTCCTCCTCCGTTACCCGTAAGGACAGCACCTCCTCGTTCAGGAAGAGTCCGCTCAGACGCTCTTTGCGGGCCTGTCGCTGCTCCTTCAGCTGACGTTTTCTGAGCGCCTTCTGTTGAAGCTTACGCTGCTTTGAGCGTTTCTGAAACGATGATGGAGGCAGGTTAGTAGTGACACTTGGTGGAGGTGATCGGTGGTTTTGTATAGTTTTGCATTAATGAAAAACAAAAGGCTGGAATTATTTTTTTTTTTTTGTAGAAAACTGCAGGCCACTGCTTTAGCTGTTCCACCTATTCACTCTGGCTTATTTTCCTTTTTCCCCCTGTCATTCTCTCTTCCCACTCTTGTAAAGACTGCTGTGGGGTGTGTGTCAGTTTGAGCCCACACCTCCTCGGAGAGTGTCTGCGTCTTTACCTTAGAGTCTCGTATACGTTCTGCTGCACTGGAGAGATTGCCATCACTGTGAGCTCTGCTGATGTTTGCAACGCTGTTCCCACTGCAGGCCGAGGCTGTCCCACCTGGAAATGAACACAAATTAAAACATCAAACACAGAGTCACTAAAACCAAGTTAATGGTGGACATTAAAGGCACCACCGTGGGGTTATTTATTTGATGACGTGGCTGCAAAATTATTGTACATTTTAGCCGACCAAATATTAATTCACCTGCTACAGAGTTGGAGGCTGTGGAACAGTTGGAGGAGCTGGTCGAGCTGACCATGCTGGCATTACTGCTGCTGGCTCCACTGACTCCACCGTTACTGACACTGCTGTGGCTACTCCTCTTCCAGCTCTCTCTGGTGCTGCTGGCCCGCTGCCGTGGGCTGTGCTCTCTGATGTAGTTTCGTACCTGAGGACAACAGGGATCTTACCACCTGTAGAGGTTTTGTTTTGTATTATGTTTGTGTGTTTCAGAAGGACCGCCCACCTGTTTGAGTTTCTCATCGGTGAGACAGTTGAGCTCGATGATGAACTCGCTGTCCGTGGGCGAGATCTGAGCGCAGGGGTCGATGATCTTGATGATATCCAGCTGCTCTCTCAGACCCATCTCTGTGCTGACCTTCCGACTCAGGTATTCAATGTACTCCACCTTAAGAAATAACGACACAAAAACACAGTTGGTTTACCTCTGTGAAATCTAAGTGCCTGTGCAGCAGTTAAGAAAGTGAGTTTCCTGCGTTCACCTGTTCATCGTTGGTCATTGCACTCCAGGGTAGTTCATCCAAGTTACGGTGGGGGTGGGGCTTAGTCTTTCTCTTGGAAAAAAAACGAGGGGAACTCGGTACACTGGGGATGATGTCAGAGAGGACATCACTGCCGCTGGTGATGTCACTTCCTGGCAACTGGAAGGACAGGACAGAGACATGATAAGGGATTTTTTTTTTTTTTAGAAGAAATAAAACTAAATAAACCTGCACTAATAGACTCACCTGCCATTCAAACTCACTATCAGACCAGTCCCAGTAGGTGCTGATAGAAGAGGAGACATCACTGCACACACTGCCCTCTGGAAACAAGTCCAACGACGTCAGTTCTTGATCGTCCAGGAGGGAGTAACAATCGTCCTGATCCCCCACAGACACGGAGGAAAAGAGTTCCTCACTACACTCTGAGCTGGCAACACTCGTCCCACAGGAGGTAAGATTCCATCTAGGTCAAACAATGAGTGGACTTTAAGTTAAATAAGTCAAAACATTTTAGGCATATTGAAGCTGTGGAAGCAACACAATCAACAGAATACGAAAAACAAATACCATTTAAAACTTAAAACAGATCATGATGTTACATGAAAACACTAGTTCTGACCTGTTACTGTGAAAACGACGAAAAACAAATACCATTTAAAACTTAACTCTCCTTAAAACAGATCATGATGTTGGATGAAAACACTGGTTCTGACCTGTTACTGTGAAAACGGTGCAGTGGATCTGTCCGGTGACATGATGACAGCTGACAGCCAAAGTCACTGACGTCCAAGGTTCCCACATCGCTCAGGTTGGCTCTTTGGGACAGGAGAGGGAATGGCTCCTCTGGAGCCAAGAACTTCTCATACAGTGACTCAGACATGACTAAATCCTACATAGAAACAGACGTTAACATTAGGCATGACTCATGACACCTGGCAACATGGCTGCAGTCTCAGTAACAACAGTAGTTTCCACTGTTTGTACATAAAATAAATGTCTTTTTTATAGGTAAGCTTGTCAACAAGTTGCTTGATCAAAATCCTTCAAAACACTACACAATCTGAGTGTGTATCTGTCCACAAACCAAAACATAGTTATAATTAGAGAAATTCTCACAGACTGTTACCGAACATGACGTACTTCCTTACAATGTTGTCTTTTTCTTTATATCGCACAGCCGTGTTTATATTACAACGTCAAGTTAGTGGTTCAACTTTGAACGATAACTCGATGTTGTTGCCGACAGCTGATAACTTACATAAGACCTTTTATCTACTGTCGATTTTAACTGTTAAATACGTCATATATTTTCTCACGTTGGTAGAGTTGTTATTAAACCGTTTCAAAGAGTCAAACGCAGAATTTAGCTATGGACAGGGAACGAGTCTGGCTGCACTTGAAATAACAGTAACCTTGTTTTGTGGCGTAAAAACACAACACATGCTAACGTCGTTAGCTGGCCGCTAATCCTTTCGCTGACTATGAAACATTACCCAACAGAACATATTGTTTGGACATACTTTTTCACATTACAGCAACCCTAAAAGCCCTGATTACACATTGGTGCAACTGATAAAGTTTGCTACGTCATAAATCCCACCTTTTTGTTGTTTAAAACGTGACCACTTCCATTTGCAAATCCTTTCTCTTCTCTCGATCAAGGAAGCTGCTGTTACCGCGAGACTTCCGAGAGTGATGTCAGCGTCAGGTGACCAGAAGGCGGAAGTTAAATGAAAACGGTAGAAAGGTTACAGAAGTTTTCTTCAAACAAATATCCTTGTTTAAGGGCTTAGTTTTGCAAATTTCTTTTGTACGTCACCGTGTTCAATGGCGTCGAGCTACACGAAGGACTCCATCTTTCTCGGAAGTATAATACCGACAGAGATTGAGTCGATGTGCAGAAACCTGAAGGATCTGGATCACGAAATGTTCAGAAAAATCCTTAAAGGTAAACGCAAACAAATGTACACCCCTCACGTCGTTCATTTAAACGATGCTTTCTGAAATACATTTGTAACACAAACACATAGTAGAGTTTCAAGTATTTATGCGTGACTATTAATATTCCATTCAGACCATATATGAGTCAATATAACCACTCCAGACTTGGAACATTTGGTGTTCCTTTTTTTAATTCCATATCTCCAATCTTTGAGACCAAGATTTCATGAGAATGAGTTCATCACTGATTTGATTATCTCTGTGTCTGATGCTCCACACAGCTGTGGTCAGTGCATTGGAAGGAAAAGACTGCAGAGACACGATGAAGGCTATAGCGGAGAGCAGTGCCATTCCACAGGAGAGACTCAGTCACATCATAGCTGGGATGTACAGGCTGTTATCTGAGGCCATCCGCATCCCTGTGTCGTCACTCAAACAGGAGGTAAACTAAAGTCGCCTGTAACAAAACAAATGTGCACACACCTAAAGTCGCCTGTAACAAAACAAATGTACACAAAGTTCTAACAAATAGATGGCAGCCCCTAACTATGACTCTTATTTATCTGAAACATCTCTCAGCCAAACGTACAAACCTAAATGTCAATATTATAACATACCATAAATGAATCTATTAAAAGCTAGACTCTCTCCCTTTTTTTGACTGAATTGTCCAATTTTTGTGTGTGAAAAATATTCACTATGTAGTTCCCATTACCTATCCACAGTAATAATGTCTTTCTATGTGTCCTAGGTTTTTAAAGATGACCTGAGAGAATTAAGGTAAGGCTTTACACATCTTTGTTACATGGGCTGTAATCATTTTTGATTTATCAATACTCAAAATGCTTTCCTTTCATTTAGAATACCCGAGGAGTTTGTTACAGATTTCTCCAGTGTGGTTTATGGCAGTCGGTATGTTGAGTGTTCTTTCAATATCTCCAATTCAGACACAAGGCCGTGACTAAAGCCTCATGTTGGTTCCACAGAGCACGGCCGCTGCCTCATTGTAGTCCACTCTTTTAATTCTCTATTTCTACAGGCGTGCAGCATTGGAGATGGCAGCCGCCCAGAGTGATCCTCACCTTCCTACAGTAGAAGAATTTAAATGGAGAGTGGATGTTGCTATTTCTACCAGGTACGGCACTTTATGCTGAGAACTTCTTGTGAGAAAATAAAGTTTTATTTCTGTTCTAAATAAAATAAGGTATTTTATCAGTATCTAACTGTCGGTTCTCTCTATGTTTTGTCTGGCGGTCCACTGTGTCTGCAGCTCTTTAACCCGAGCCCTGCAGCCTTCCGTACTGATGCACATGAAGCTGTCGGATGGAAGTTTTCATCGCTTCGAGGTACAGAAATATTTGATCTGCTTCTTGACATATCTCACTCCTTTATGTCTTTAAACATAAACTAGTCATTATTTAGAGTCATTTTCCGAAGAAGGAAAAATATAAATAAATGTTTACAAAAACCATGTGCAACAGTGCCACCTCAGATATTTTGATTTGCTGCATTTAATGTGAACTCTGATCTATTTATATTCATGGACATGAAAGAATACCGTTGTTTAAGATTGTGTGTGTGGTGGTTTTTATTCATTAGTCTAAAAATAATAATAATTTGTTTTAAAAAATATTTTTAATCTGTACATTTTTTAATCAATTACTAGACATTTCTGGTGACCAACCCCAAGGTTGATAAAAAACACTGTGCTAACTGACCGTAGCCCCTCCCATCTGTGATGAACAGACAAGTTGAACTGTGGTTAGTTGTTAATAAGAGCCTGAATGTTAACACGCCTCTTCTACACAACCTTTGTTGACTTTGTTCAGACCAGTTGGCTGTTGCCATCATTATGGTCTTTGGTCATGCTCCAGCTGCGTTGTTTGTTTTTGTTACATAGTGTTTGTTGAAGTGTTTGTTGCTTCAATAATGCAGTTAATGTGACGTCGAGAAGGAAATTAGTGTTAAATAATTAAAAGTTAAATATTAAAAACGTATTAGTGAACCAATACTACAGTACAAAGTACATGAATTATAAAGTAACACTTTATACAGTAAGTCCTGAGACAATAAAGATTTCAAAGTAGGTTAGTAAGGTGCACCAACCAGGGGTGTGTGTGTGTGTGTGTGTATGTGGGGGGGTGTGGTCCAGTTTGGGTTGAACAGGGTTACATAACAGATTCAGAGCAGGATTAGAAGATTAGTAGCAACAACATCTGATGCGCAGATTCTATTGACAGACTTTATGTTCACCTCGACGTGCTTGCCCGGAATTTATCCAGAGATTAGTCAACAGACGTGGAACCTACGGAGAACAATGTGGTCCAGACAGAACATGAGGCTTTGGATGGATTTCTGAACCAAAGTTCTCTATGTTACTGTCTCGCAAACCTTTTTTTTTTTTTTTTTTTTTTTTGTCACGCCATGAAACCAGTTAGCCAGAGCGCCTCTAACTGGACTCCACTTATACAATAATATAATTTACATTTTTTTACTTTTTGTTTAGGTTCCTGTGTCGAAGTTCCAGGAGCTCCGCTACAACGTTGCCTTGATCCTTAAAGAAATGAATGATGTAGAGAAGAGGAGTATTCTAAAAATTCAAGACTAATATGAAAATATTTCATTTCAAACTTCTTTTTTTTTTTAGTTTTGGAACATGTTTGTGCGTCAGAATTTAGATGTTTGTTGAAATTTGTCTTTGAAAGTGTTGGTATCCAACATACTGTATGGTGGCGCTAGGCTCTAATAAATCATAGGTGAAAAAGTAGTCCACAGTCTGGACTACAGCTTGATCTGTGGACTGGGCTGCAGCCCACGGCGCTCTCAGATTCGTGGCCACTAAGACTTCGACTGGTGTCAGGTGATTTGTTTTTGAGACTAAACATTTTGTATGTATTGATCAGTGATAGTTTTTTTTTTTCTACTCTTGATTAAACAGTCTTCAAAGCATTGACATTTTAACAATTGTTCTTGTCATGGAATTAAAATAAAAACTGGTGTTAATTTATTTTTTTCTATTTTTTATTTATTTTTTTAAAATTGTTTTATTTTTTTCTATTTTTTATTTATTTATTTATTTAAATTGGTTTCCATCGTTGTTTATCACAGTTCTAGTAAAACAATACAGTAGAACCCGGTGCTGGGGGTTGTTGTTCTTATAGTGAATCAACCAGGAAAAGTAATACTTTGTTCCAGTTTTGTCCTTGTACAAACACAGGCTGGTGAGTCATCAGTCCATGTTTTGACTGTGTGTAGCATTTGTTTATGTAAACTCCACAGCCTTCACTTATAAAATAACACCTTATGAAAAAACATCACAGCTTAACATTTAATTAATTTATATATATGTTATATCACTGTTACACATAAAGGTCACATCTGAAAAACAAAGTAAAGAGATGCAGAGACTAGAAAGTACTTTTTTAAATTGTACAACTAATGTGAAGAAAATAAAACCAGTATAAATTAAATGTATGCAAAAGCTATGGAAAAAAAGGAAAATACAACACAAACTACATGTGTTCACTGTGGTAAAACTACAAGATTGTTTTGATAAATTCTGTCAAATTATAGCAGTGTTTTTTTTTCAGTTAACCAATATAAGTGCTAACATTCTCACCATTAAACCATCATCTAAACTTTTTGTGTAAAATTATGTTGTTTTCTTTTTTTTTTTACTCAAACCTCTGCTCAAAGAAAACTGAACATTTTCTCTGCGTTTCTCTGTCCCTCTGTCTCAGTGAATGCTGTCCGTCCGTTAGGTTGTGTCTCTGTGTTGGATTGAGTTCACAGAGACGAGACTGGACGACCTATATTGTGGACAATTGTCTAACTCTACCGACAAGGACACTGACAGACCTAAAAAAAAACCCTGTAATCCTCTCATGCTATCCTCACAGTAAACCTCATTGATAAACCAGGCTTATTTTTAGACTGCAGGAAACACTGGTGATGGACTCCAGAGGCCGATCATAACATCATGTGGTCTCACATCAAACTGTAATACAGGTTTGTGTATTAAACACTGTTGATGCTCAGCTGCAATGGTGCAACACTGGAGAGAAAAAAAAAGCTCCTAAAAAAAGGAGCTTCTACAAGATGATTGTTTGAATTGTTTAAATATTTGACATTTTGGAGTTTGTATGTGATGTTTATGTTTTTTTGTTTTTGTTTTATTAGAGTAGAACAGAACGGAAAAAGTTAAAAAAAAGTCATCAAAAAATGTTCTCAGCTTTGGATCATGAATATATTAAGGTAAGAAATTAATCAATGTTCTAATATTTTAAAAAAATCTATAAAACAATGTGCTAATATGTAATGATTGTCAGACCTGGAATTATAGATATACACTGTCATTAATTATTACCATGTGTTAAATGCATAAAAATAATTCCAATTCATATTCCAATATTAATAAACAATGTTGACAGCCCTGATATACAGTATATCTGACAATGATCTTCCTGTTGAAGTGATAATTGATCAGTGATGGTAACATGGAATATTTAATAATGAATGAATATTGTTTTCCGTTTTAGCAGTGACCTGGTATTTACACCTGGTATTTGCAGCATATTTTGCGGTGACACTGGGAACAATTACAGAAGACAATAACAGGTACAACAGTGGACTTTGCCAAAAAGGAGAGTGAGTATTTTAATCCACATTAGGTAAAAAAAAAATCTGTTTTACATCTGTTTTTTTTAGTACCTCCACGGACCCCCTGTTGGCTGCAGACCTTATGTTGAAGACCTCTGCCTTGAATCCGCATAACAGAAGACTGCAGCGATGGCTATAACTGGACGTGACCTACAAACAGTGATGCCTGAAGACTAATGTAAACCTTTCTGTGGTTAGTGCAGTATCATAACCAGTTTAAACATTAGTAACGTATACTATTACCTTGTTAAAAAGTATTACTGCTGAGACACTAGTTAATATTCAGTAAGTTACACAGTGTGTTTACTGTGGCCGTGGATGCAGGCCGCGGTCAGAAAGCTCTTTGCCCCCATGACACACAAACACGGCATGTTACATGGCAAGTTGTTTTGTAACAGTTCCGAATCCATCCAATCAGAACATCTGGTCTTGGTCACATGACGCAATTTTTACATAACGTTCATCCCCCCCCCCCCTTCCCCGCTTCTCCATTGACAGTATGAGTGGTCCACTTCCTGGAATGGAGCATGATCATGCCGAGAAGACGGACAGTTGTGTGAAGGGCAGCGGGTAGACTGAACACACATGTTCCGCCTCACAGACGATGTTTGCGCTGGTGATGAAGGGATAGGACTCACCCCAGCATCCAGCCCGCCATGGCCACAGAGAGGGAGAGTATGCTGCAGCTCGCAGCCGAAGCTTTCCAGTCCAAGAACTTCGACCTGGCGGCGGATATTTACGACTGTCAGCTGGCGGCTCAGGGAGACCCCGGGAGCCGACAGGAGCTGATGGTGAAGCGGGCTGACGCGCTCGCCTTTGGAGGGAAATTCTCCGAAGCGTTCGCCGTGTACCGGCAAGCCTCCGAGATAGAGAGACTGACTCCGGCTCAGCTGGAGAACCTGATAGACTATCTATCCCAGAGTATCCGGAGACAAGACGCCGGCGAGAGCCACAGCGGCAGCCCGGGAAGAGGTGAAGAGGCTGGGGCGGCGGAGGGAGCAGGACGGCCCGCGGCTGCTACAGCTACAGCCCCAGGCAGCGGGCGAGCGTACTTCTCCTGCCCGATATGTCAGAGCTTTCTGTTCGAGCCAGTGACTCTGCCCTGTGGACACTGCTACTGTAAGAAGTGTCTGGAAAGAAAGGAGAGGAGAGAGAAGGAGTGTAACGAGTGCAGGGACAGCTCGGGAGTCCAGAGTTACCGGGTCAACGTGGTCCTCAGTAACCTGCTGGCCAAGTGGTTCCCGAACCTGCACCAGGCTGGACAACTCAGGCGGGAGGGCAACGGACTGTACGCCGAGAAGAAGATGGAGGCTGCACTGGAGAAGTACAACCAAGCAATAATGAAGGGTAGGACATTTTTTATGTCATGTTTTCTAGAACCAATAACACCACAGATGGTCCGTTAGGTCCACTAAAATATACGTCTACGTCTCAAACGTTTTACAACAGCCACCAATCTTTGAAAATATTTAGTTAAAGTACCTTAATATGAACGACACTTTGGCCTAAAGAAGAATTCAACTCGCGTCCAACTCGTGAAGACGAAAATATTGTTAATGTTTTTGGCTAACTTTAGCTCAGAGGAGGTCAAGTAGTTCCGCCGACTGTGAATCATCCTTGACTCTTTATCAAGAGTTCCCGTTGAAGAACTTGTAAAAGTTTACATTTTACCGGTACATGTTGAAATTAAAAACATTTTTAATGGTTACTCGATCAAATATTAACGGTATCATGGATAGGACGTTGTTGTTCCGGTTTAAGCATTTATCATTTATATTAAAAAAATACATGTAATATTAAGTGACAGATTAAAAATAAATGTTGTGCTGCCATAATATCTTTTTAATTTGTTATTAATACTATTGTCTACTGATAAAATATGTAACTGAGCAGCAACGGTAGCTGCACATTCTTGGCTTCGGTACAGTAGAAGTATTTCCTGTAATAGCTGTTAGGTAGTATTGGACAAATAAATACACGTAGATGAAGTAAAAAAATAAAATCCTACAGGATCCTATAGGAGCAGACGCTGTTGTTGTGTGTAGGCTGCTGGTAGCCATGTGGTCATGTGTTGGATAACACAGTCAGTTATGTTATGTGTGCTGCTGGGCCACTGGACCAAACATTGGGTAAGCACGTTACGTCTCCACCTCCAAACCAGCCCTCGATTTCCTCGTTGTGTAACGTGACACGTCAAAGCGTGATGCAGGCGAATGTAGGTCAAGGATGTTACCGCCGGTCAACGCCAGGTGTCGTTCTTAATGAGGACAGGGGACAATGTCAGCAGAATTTTACGTGACCTCCACACCATCGGCACTGATATAACCTGACCCAGTGGTTCTCAAGCACTGTGTCGTGGTACACGAGTGGGCCGTTGAATTATTATTTATTATATATACTATAATAAATAATAATAAATAATAATTATACTATTATATATACTACTATTATATATACTATTTATTATATATACTACATATACATACATATACATACATGCATATATATATATATATATATATATATA